ACCCATCCATATCACACCTGATGCGCTTCCAAGGAGTCATGCGAAAAATATACGCCAGATGCACTTTTAGGATGTCGTATGACAGGACATTAGATCATAATCACCGGATGTGCTTCCAGGAAGTCGTGCGACAGAACACATTCATCAGATACACTTTCAGGATGTAATGTGGCAGGACATCCGATCGAAACAACATAATCACCGGATCCAGAGGATGGGGACAGCATCACCCAACCCTCGATATCAAATCCATAGAGTGCCAACACTTTCGAAACTTTCCTAGCATGGGGTTAAACTGAAATCATTCGACAGGCCATCCCCCAAGTTCTTGAAAGCGTGACAGAATCACAGGGGCGAGGCTTTTTGGAATCGTGATTGAATTCCAGAGGGTTTTGAAATCGTTGAGACGTGTGTTTCGGTTGTGGATCATTTAAAAAGCTGTTGAAATGGTGTGTCTGAGGTCCTGGGGCCTGCAAGATGAATTGGATGGAGATGTCCTGGTTCCTGCGTTGGGGTGGTATCACTGTGATGACGAATCATTTGTAAAATGGGTCTGAAGAAAATGTGTCGAGAGCTGAAATTGTCGAGACTCGACACTCAGCTTCAAGAGATTTTTTCAAAGCCAATGATATCGCCAATGATGCCAAGAAAATAAACGCCAAATTGCAACGATACCAAATGACGACGACAACCAAAAAGTTGCGTTTCAAAAAAATCAAATTTTGTCTCGAGACAAGTTTTGCTCGACCCAACTCTCGCCCCAAGAGAAAAAAAAGAATTTCCATTCTTGGTATTAAGGTTGATCAATTAACCTTACCCGATTCTTGTCCAAATCTGTTCCATTTCAATAACATCATTTTTCATAAAATAATAAACATTTTCTTTTAAAAACGGATCCATTTTATATTTTCAACGATAAAAAAAAAACAATCACATTCAAAACACTTCAACCCAACTCTACGAGATCAACTCTGGAAATATGTACCATTTCAATCTTCATCATTTTTTATAAATAATATACATTTTTATAAAATAGAATAAATTTTTTATAAAGTCTTATCATTTTTTATAAAACAATATACAATATTCTTTTAAAAACGCCAATTTTTATTTTATGCGATGAAAAACGGAACAATCCCATTCAAACACTCCAACCCAACTCTATGAGACCCCCCTGGATGTCAGACACGCTAGATACAAACGTGTGACATTTTAAAAAGATCAACTACAAGTGGAAAAAAATCATATTCCCAGGGCCAGAACCCGACCTCTAAGAGCCATCGATACGGTTGGACACGGTAATGGTGAGATAGCACGATGACCATGGAACCCGAGGCCACATGAATGTCACCGCTAATGAAATGGTTACCGGTGGATCTCTGCTCTCGTTCCAACTCTGCAATTTTACGCTTCAGCGTTTCATTTTCTCGTTTCAGTGCGTCGATGGTTGCATAGACCGCATCCATCCGCCTTGTTTTTGGGTCACGTGCTTTAAAACATGCATTTAAAAGACTTGTTGTTTATTGATCGTGCAGTAGACGTCCTTAATGCTTTGACGCCAAGAATTGCCCAATCCAATCTGATGTATCATCGCCTCGACGTGATTCTTAAAGGTGGCCAGAGTGGGTCAGACGCGCATGATATCGTTCTCTGTCCAATACACTTTGTATTCTCCAGCAGGATGCGGTTCGTAATGCCATCGCAAATAAGCGGGGCAGTCTCGAAGATCCGGCAAGGCACCCAGCACGCGAACCCGATATTTTCTCTCGCGGGACGACCAGTGGCCTTCCGTGTTCCAATCGATGACGACTTGATATCAAAGCTTTTGATGGATGTAGGCCATGGAGCCTTTCGGCCATAAAGAGACCATGGAAGGGGCGGCGCTCGTGCAACGGGCGATTGATGTAAAAATGTCCACCTCACCCCACGCACGGCTGCTGGGATCCAGAACATTGGGCTTTTTCACTGTATACGTAGTGGATGGTATTGGCCAAATGCAGGGTCATCCTGATCTCTTTCTGTCCTTTGCAATAGCGCTTGGTTTCGCGAGACACGTTGATGTGTTTCCAAGCTTAGAGGTAGGCGACTCGATGTCGCACAGCCACAATCATGTGGCGATGGGGTTTATGACGCTCCAAGGTATGGGACTGGGCAACCATCGCTCAAACACCAAAAGGACGACACGACCAGTGCAGTACGCAACACCCCGCTTTGCGACAGTTACTAGCGCAATGCCCTACCAACTTGGCCGGGCCATACACAGTTTTCGTGCGGATATTTAGCTTAAAGAAAACTCTCCCGGTTAGATCTATATAAAAGTCTTTCGGTCCGAGTTTGAACCTTATAGCTTAATACTAATATTTTTCTCTGTTATCATTCGAGTTTTAATTAAAGTTAATCTATTTTAGTGTAAAACACATAACAAAATCCTGTTTAAAAACACCAAAAATGCTTGCATAAAAATTACGTGTATATTTACATATAACGTGTATATTATCCCGAATTTATTAATTTTTCCCATTAGTCGCTATTTCCCGAAGGAAAAAAAGTATTTTATATATAGAACCCTTTAAAATATCGAAAAACACATTAAAAAATATTAAATAAATAAACAAAAAAAATTAGAAAATTGCCCACGGCTGGGATTCAAACCCAGGTCATACTGGTCAACGGAAGTAACTAGCGCACAGCCCTGACAACTAGGCAACGCTATACACGGTGTTCCCACGAGCTTAAGGAGCACTCTTCCGGTTAGTCAAATTAAAAGGCTTATGGCCCATTGCGAACCCCCTAATTAGTCTATATATATTTACTTTGGTACGATTGTTTGGCACATTGAACACTATTTTCGGGCCGAGTTTCAAAATTATAGGTTAATATGAAAGGGATTTACGTGGCGCTAAAATAAGGAAAATGAGGAATAGCGCAAAAATGAGGAAATTTGAAGTCAAAATTCTGCATTACACCATGGACCATTATGGATGGGTGGTCTAATGTAAACAATAACAAGCGTCCTTAAACCGGAAGAAATTTAGAAAATTTCCGGTGTATCCAATTNAAAAATTTTGGAAAGTTAATATCTCATTGTGAATAATTCTTAAGGATTGCCATGTTTTGTATTTTATCCCTTATTTGGCTACATTTGAATAAAATGTCTCCAAAAATATCCTTAAAAATATCTTTTTAAGATAGCCTAATTAGAAAATATTCTAATGATTATAATGTTAATATGATAATGCTGAAGTTTAAAGGCTGAAAGAAAGAACTCGGTACAAGTGAAACACTGCAAAAGATATGATGCAATAATATGATGGCGCGTTTTTTCAATCTGTGGCGTAAAAATATATCGAAAGCAGTAACCCGGAAGTCTTGAAAGAGCAATTTTACCACTAGCGCCACCACCCTTAGCTTTACACGATCACCCATCCATATCACCTTAATATTGATCCATAATATTCAAATTGGAATACGTATTATATTACCGGGTACTAGTGTATCCTACCAGAGGAAATAATTATAGGCTTAAAAGGGACCTACAATGTGGCCCTAATAGGTTACTATGTATGTATATATATAATCGCATTAAAATGAGGAAATTCGAAGTCAATATCCTGTATTACAACATAGCCCTTTAGGTTCTTTTGACTTTAATTTTTTGCCACGCGTTTTCGGTCAATAAATCTATCAAGATGAGAAATGCCACTTGACTTGGAAGTGTTGTAGAGGATGTATTTAATTCCCTTAAGGTTTGGACGGACTCGGGTAAAGTGACCATTATTCTTTCCGCGAGTTTTTAGTCAATAAATCTATCAAGATGAGAAATGCCACGTGCATCTTTAAAAACTATTCCAATAGTCTTTGACTTCGTATGGGACCATTCATGCAGTGAATAATAAATCCATTGATAACGGTGAAAAAACCGAATGGAGAGACTGCCAATGTGTTTATACGTGACTAGGCGAAAGACTATGGTTTGTTCTTCGAATGAATGTGCGTCTCTCATCATCCTTTGGAATTGTCGGAATGAGTTTATCCTTTTTATCATATTCAGTCTCGCTTAATGAGTTTTTTTGCTTGGAGTGTTACTTCTGTCTCTTTTGTTTGTGCTGGCGCTCCTTCTGTTTGGTTCCTTGTGCTTGTGTCGAAGCCAATTTTACTTGTGCTGCTCGAACATTAGAGTTTTCAATCTTGTTTGAGAAGCTTTTACTGCTTCAAGGACGACTAGAGTTTTCAATCTTGTTTGAATGAGCATAGGAGTTTTCAACTTTACTTGAGAGACCATTGGAGTTTTCACCCTTGCTGGTGGTTCGTTTGTCCACCAGCTTTTAGCCAACAAACTGTTAACAAAAGCTTTGACATTTTTTTGACACTTTTACCACAATGAATAAAGTAACCTCCCAATATACTCGTTTTGTGATTTTTTTATTTTGATTAATTATTTTTTTTGTATTTTTCAGATTTGAAGGGAGGAAATGATACCTATGAAAAAGAGTGTAGCAATTTTTTATACCGATAGATGGCGGTCAAATTGGTTTATTGAATGTGATGTTATGTAAGTAACATTAGAGATTGTATGGAATCCGATCACTACAATCGACCATCCGGTCACAATTATTAATTTGTATTATGTGTTTATTTGTAACATGACTATGCCGTTTAATGGAATGGATATGTTTCATGGAATACACTAACTAATCGGAACTCAACCCGCCTTCCTCAAAACAACGTAGAAAGTATATCAAGAATTAATAGATCCCAGAAAGTTAGAGAAAAAAGCGGAATTTCAAAGACTGGAGAACACTCTGGAATTAAAGGCAACGACGCCATGGCGCTACGATGAATACATCAGAAAGTTCTTCTGAAAATGCGGAATACGGCCAAATGCCTTAACTAAACACTTGAGCATTGGTACACAGACTATCCATGTGGCAATGATGTTCATGAGAGGCAAAATACCTAGCGTTTAGGTCCTTAAAATTTCAGCACTCGCGCATCCCCACTTTTCAACATCCACGTAAGGAGTGCCAATTTTTTTCACATGTCCTCTCATGTTTTCTCAAATTGAATGGCCGACACATTTTCTGTGGAGAGGTACACTTCAAAAATTGCACTCATCAAATCTTGTTGATCGAGGGCCGATTCACGAGGCCTGGGAAAAAAGCTAGTCAATGCGCATCGTGATATACATGATTTGCATTTTGAATGTTCTTGTTGAAGGCCAGAGGTTTCACGTTGCACTTGATGCATGGAGATGACGGCCTTTTCTCCAACCTGGAAAATGTCATCCAACATGAAACCATGCATTTTCACAACTCCGCAAATGTAGTTTTCTGTGGTAGAAGTGACTTTAAGAGGGCTTTTAGAAATGATATGATCTGACTGGTTGCTCTTTTTATAGGGATCGGGCAGGATATAACATATCCTGTCGTGAGATTCCACATCTCTTTATAAGATGACGAGTTTTTTCAAGAATGTTCTGGTGCTAAAAGTTTTTATTTTTTATTATACCATCTTTGTCAGATTTGTAATTCAAAATCAGAAGTTAATCAGGCATCCTAAAGTCCTGAAAATCGAAAAATCTAAGGTTATCGACACGAAAAAATGGGTCCCTTATCATCGAGGCCTGAATTAGTCTAATTGCGGATCGGGGCAAAAACTTTTTTCGGGGGCCCCTCTGCTTCAATTCCTCGGTAATGAAGAACCAAAATTTATGGAGGTATTTAAATTTTTCTCCTAATTATAGATATATAACAAGAAAATTGACTAGAACCTTAAATAGCCATTAAGGCCCCTCTCATCTCCAATCGTCAGACGAAATACCGTTCTGTCCATTTTATTGATGTTCTGACAATTCCATGTCCATCATGCAAAGGCAGTTTCCGAAATGCAGTTATCCGGTTTTTAACTTTGTCATCTTATCTGCGAGAAATTCATATCCTTACTGACATTAGAGTGGAATTCAGCTGAATTATCGCAATTGCGTAGCTCAATTAACACAATCAGAAGCCCGTATTTTTGTAAAAATAGCGTATTTTTCGATATGTAAAAATACAAGCTTTTGACTGGCCGAATTTGTCCATCGTACTTGAGGAAATTTAGCTGAATTCCGTTTAAGTGAAGGTAAATAAATGCGTGTTCGTTAATACATGATATCCAAACGTTTAATAAAATAACATTTAATAATAAATTTCAACATAACGACATACAAACAAAACTGGGAGTCTAGAACGAAAAACCGTTAATGTAGATATACAAAACATCTCGATCAGAACTGTCAGAATGTAACGGTTGATGAGAAGTGAAAGTTATAGTAGTGCTTACTTACTAGGTAGAAGTTTTTAACATTCGCTCGCATCGCTACCTTGTAACATGCACTGGAAACGGAACTGATGGGGTCGGCAGGATTCAACATTCCAGTGAACACCCTCAGAAACTTAATTATTTTTCTTCCTGCCCGTCTCGCAGCTGTCTGCTCTGCGAGAGGAGGTTATAATAGCTTTTGAGGAGGCTATATGCTATTTTTATAACTGTTGTGAGTTTGCTACAGATACTCATGACTCTTAGGACAAGTTTAACTTATATAAAGCTAGCGTTGTCTATGTTTATTCTGAGAATGGCGTAAAACGTCAATATGGAGAAAAGCAACAGTTCTGTGAAAATGAAAAGCGTTTGTGGTCAAATTTTCAATATTTAAAATTTCGCGCTAAATTTCACGCTGCATTACTTGGGTTCATAGAAATTTGCGCCCCGCAGTGGACTGATCGTTAAGACATGGTTCCCAGCAGATCACCGAAGTCAAGCATCACTGGCTGCGGTTAGTGTGCGGGTGGGTGACCACTTGGATCAGCCTGCGTAGGGACCGAGGGTGTGCGGTATTGGTCCTCGTTAGACTGTTCTACCGTAAAGTGCTCGACTTCGCGTGCAGGTCGTCGGGCTACCGAAGCGGGGGTGCCATCCCCTCCGCAGAGGATCAAAATTGTGATGGCATGTCTTCGGATCATCCTCAGAGTTGTTTCCTAGACCGTCGCCAATAGCCCATTGTGCAGCTCTAGTGCGACGTAAATGAACAACAACAACATAGACATTTGCAAAACCTGAGAAAAAGTTTAATAACTTTTAAACTATTTAAGTTATTTGTCTGTTCTAAAGCTCAGATAATTCTTCACTACAAGATAATATATAAAGTTTAAAATTATCGCTTTGCTTCAAGCGTAAGGCACTTAAATTGTAGCCTTTTTTTTAAATTTTCCTTGGCGACAGAGCTTCGAAAAGCCTTGAAAATCCTATTTCCGATGACGGTGCTGATTCGTAGGGTTAATGTAATAAAACTGAAGAGGCTGCTTAAACAGTTTCTGCTGATGTTGCCAACAAAATTTTATAAGATTTGTAAGGTTTAAAGGGAAGCTTAAAAGACCTGGAATTCAAAAACAAGCAAGGCTTGAAACAGAAACTTCATCAAAAACTTTGTTTACATTGCAAATTCCCGAACATTTTCGTTATAAACACCTCGCTGACTTTGATTTATGATTTTATTAAGAATGATTGCAAAAACTAATAAACTGAGAAGAATTTTGTTTTATTTCTATAAAAGTTTCAATAAAATAAGCTTATTTAATTCAAACTGAAAAAAAACAAACAACAAACTTTGGAGATATTGACATACTTATTTACAGATAATATTTATTAGATTTAGATTTTTATTGTTTTAAAATGAGAACTTTTAACTGACGTGTTGAATTTAATGTGCCTTCTGCTTTTTGTGTGAGATTTTTAAAAACCGAATTTCTTTCGAGTTCTTTTTATAAGTTTTAATTTAATTATATTTATTGTTTGTTGTTAAAAGTGGAATAAGCAGACCAGTAATATGTTATTTCTATGAATTGAATGAAATAAGTATGCTGTTACAATAGGTTTTAACTTTGCTATTTGTGAGGTAAGCAAGTTTCTAGTTCTAAATTATTTAAAATAGTTTGTAAAATTTTTTTAAATAAAACTTCATAAATTCATTTTTAATTTCTGAAATATATTCAGATTATTTGATGTGAGGAAAATAAAACTAATATTTTTCTACTGAAGCCAGCATGTCTAGATTTCTCTTTCTATCAAAAAATATAACTTAAAATTTTGTTTAAATGTATTTTTAGAAAATTTTGTGATTTGCTATTAAAGTCTTGATTGAATAAATATGATTTACAGTGATCTTCGTTGCCGTTACATTTAAATAAATTAAACACATGTTCAAAATATTTGATAATAATATGATGTGTGTGCAAAATATAAAAATATTTTGGCATATAATTGTCAATTCATCTGTCAATACTGTGAGATGTCATTCTTGAAAATAATTATATTTCACAAAATAGAAGTTGACAAGTTTGATATATGTATAGTGTTTGCATTTTTTATAACTCTTTTTATTATGTAGAATTAAATTAAGTTATGAATCTAATTTACCTTAATTTGAAGTTGTTATAATATAGAAAATTTTAAACCAAGTACAGTTGGAAACGAAAATTTCTATGACCCTTCTACTTGTTATTTTTTAAGATAAATTGCAATATATGTTGGAAGTCTTAGAATTCTTATTCTGAAAAATTTGCCACTATGACACTGGTGCTAATTAAATTTTACCCAGAAATGCTCTTGACATATCTGTGGGTAAGTTAAGCTGTGATTTTATTTGTCTTCATCAAACTGTGATAAATAAGGACAGGTTGGTACCTGTAAATCATTCCAGGAGGAAAAAAAAAAAGCAAATAACATGGGGGAAACTTTTTTTTTATTTGCTCAAAGCTATTTTTAGTTGTTCTAAGACCCATGTAAGCAGCAATACTTATATCCATCTTATTTTATTACTTGTGGATGAATCTTTAAAATATAACTTTCGATTCCATGTCTTTATTTTTCTGAGAAGCATTTTTTATTTTGCTGATAATTATATTTGTTCTGAACAAAAAAGTAATTTTTTATCATTTTCAGAAATGAAATTTTTATTCAGATTTTCAAGTATTATATAGAAGCTACATTTCAAATTATAGTTGTGAAAAATCATTGAAAAGCAGATGTATTCCCTTTTTGAAGTGCGCAAAATTTTAGCTGTATCTAATCCTGGAGGTGGAAAAGATGTGGAAATTATTTTAACTGCTTATACAGAAAATAAAGAAAGTAGCTCATTAGCTTTGGTTTGTAGCAATGGTAAACAGAATTTTTTTTTATCTAAAGTTATTTTTTCGATAATGCTTAAATGTTTATTTAATAAAGAAAACGAAGGAAATAGAAATAAAAATATGACCACTGAAGCCGACGTCTTCAGGGGGTACCGGCCTCGGTAACCATAACAACAAAACCATTTCTAATTGAGGGAGAAGCAAATGCTTAAATTAACTCCCTCAGTACCCCTATGGTTTTGTATAGAAGTCCAGGGAAAAAAAAACATGCAATGCAAATAACAAATTAAGAAGAGATACTCAAACAAAATCATCAGAAAAATAAAAACTCACATAGTCACAGGTCAAACATCGATAGGTGACCTGTGACTATGTGAGTTTTTATTTTTCTGATGATTTTGTTTGAGTATCTCTTCTTAATTTGTTATTTGTATTGCATGCTTTTTTCCCTGGACTTCTATACAAAACCATCGGGGTACTGAGGGAGTTAATTTAAGCATTTGCTTCTCCCTCAATTTGAAATGGTTTTGTTTTTATGGCTACCGAGGCCGGTACCCCCTGAAGACGTTGGCTTCGGTGGTCATATTTTTATTTTCTTCGTTTTCTTTATTGTTACTTTTTTCTGAAATTTCTGCTGCTTTTTAGCGCATTTTTTTCAAAGAAGTTTTTTTCATTTTGAATTAAAAATATTTGTGTTTTCTTTTAGTAAATGTTTATTTATTTGGTCACTACATAATAGTTCTTGTTTTTATATTTTCCTGCATGTATCCTCTATGACAAGAATACATTTATTTCTTATATTATCCAATTTAAATACAAATATTTATTCTCTAAATAATTACTATTACAACTAGCTTAGAATAATGCTAATAATTTTTGTTTATATTGGTTACTAATATTTATTATTTGCAAAAATTATTTAGGGAACTGTGTTCTTTAAGTTGATATTTTTCATTATACTTAAGTTATTTCTTATTTCCTAATAATATCTGATATTTCTAACTGAAATATTTTCTTGTAAATTAAGAACTGTTATCCTGTAGTCTGTTGTTTTATTAGTTTTACTCAATAATCAAGAAACTCTTTTTTGTAAATTTGTTCAATTTTGTTTTTCAAATTGATTTAGATTTCAGTGGCTAAAAAGTTCTTTCCTCTGAAATGCTAACTAAAACATAAAACTTGATATACAGTGGAAAGTCGCGTATCCGGAATCGGCGGGACTTTCCGAAGTCCGGATAATCGATTTTTCCGTATAATAGACCCCCAAGGTAAACAGAGATTAAAATGATCTGAATCTAAGAAGCAGAAATTAAATAACATTATTTTTCGGGCAATAATGTTTTAGTATTAGAATGATATCTAATCAATCAAAAACAAAATATTTTAAAAAAATAATTATTGTTATTATAAAAATAAATATAGGAAACTAAAAAAATTTACAGTTATGAAAATATTAATTGCTCTCTCCGCCATTTTGAACTAGAACGTTTCAAGCAAGAAGGGGAATTCCCGTCATTCATTCATTAAGGTGGGTAGGTGAAGAAGCAAAATTCATTTCCTTCTTGCCATTCAAGTTGAAGGGGGGGAAGTGACAAGTTCTTATTTTCTCTCCTGTCATTGGCTATCAATCAAGCATAAAGGCGTGGCATGCTGATTGGGTTCTCTTTATTTTTTCTTGTGTGACTAAAGGGGATTCCCCCTCCACTTAAACATTATTTGAAAGTTTNCTTCTTTCCCTAACACTTTATCAAAAAGGTTCCAGGAAATGCCTCTTTTACTAGCCAGCTGCACAGGAAAGAAGGGGGGAGGGGACTCAATTGTGCTCTTTTGAAAACAAATCTCCCCCCCCTTTCCTGCATTCCTGAGGAGGAGCGTTACTAACGGTACGGTCTTGGTAGATCTTCTGTTCTTTTTTCTGTTGATTTATGGGTTTAATGCATAGATAACTAGAAGCTAAGAAAGGAAAAAACCTGTCAAAATACCTTTTTTTTTTTTTTAAGAGAGTGGGGAAGATGGAGAAATGTTTGTTTATTTTGATTGTTAAAAAGTGTCCGGGAAATTGACCCTTCCGGAAAAGGGACGTCCGGATATGGGACGTTACACTGTATATTCTTTNAAATTGATTTAGATTTCAGTGGCTAAAAAATTCTTTCCTCTGAAATGCTAACTAAAACATAAAACTTGATATATATAAAATCAGAAAATATGTGTAGTGCCTTTACGCCAATGTTTCAAGATTTTCTTTTTCTCACCAACATTAGTGATAATAACTTCCAAAATGAGGTTTAGATTGTACTTGTGCATTCAGATAAGAGTGATGTTATGATCAAGAGATTGGGAATGGAGTTTAAATTGATACACATGCCCAAAATCATAATCCACGCTTATTTAAAGGTTGCCTGGAAATTCACCATACTGATGTTTTTTTTTTTAAGGTTAAAGAATTGCCTTTTTTTCTATCTACCTCTAGTACGCACATAAATTAAGAATGTCCAAATTAATTTTAAAGTGTTGCTCAGAATGGCTTTGAAGTAATCCGTAATATGTCGGATCTCTTATTGCGAGATTAATTTTTTATTGTTCTGCATATTACTTTATATTACTTTATTCTTATAAAACTTTCAGCAGAGATATAACAAAATATGTTTAGTGTCGTAAAATAATAGTTTGGTATTATCTCACTATAAGTTTGACCTGTTTAATGGACATTTATTTTTTTAATAGTTGAGTTTTAGTTTTGCTGTTTTAATGCCACTGCTCAGTATATGTTTGCCCGGTTTATCCTAGACTGATGTTTTCTTAAGATTAAATTCCATCGTCTAATATGCCCTACACTGTTGCTCAAAATTAACTGCAATACAAGTGTGCTTTTAATTTCCTAGAGTTGTAATATTTCATAGCATTTTCAGCATCGAGTGCAGACGCATAGCAAAACAGTTGCCTGAGACTTACATTTGATATACATCTGCAGTTATTTATGAAATGAATGTTTTGTGTTAAAAAATGACCTTAATGCAAGTAAACTTCGAATTTAATGGGATTGCAATATTGTTTCCGTTTTCAAAGTATGATAAAAGCAGCGCCACCAAAAATTTGCCAAAAGGGTGTGGCGAGAAAAAAAACCCTGCCAAACACTGATAACAAATCAGTTCCATAAAATCTTTGTTACAAAGTTATATGCGTGTAAAGTTGCTCATAACTTTTACTTTTTATCATTGTTGCGTGTTTATTTTTAATAAGCCACCTTTGCTACTACAATTTCACAGTCTGAAATTTCGTAAGTATAGTTTCAGATGTAGACACCTGTAACCAAATTTAATTTAAACTGAATATGATAGGATAAAACAGATCTGAAAATTGGTTCACTTATTGAGGATTTTTTTATGATTTCATATTTTACTCCTTTTAAAAGAAAATATTTTTATTAATCATACATTTTTACTTGTTGACACATTTGTCCCTTATTTTATATTTTGGTTTCTTCGAAATAATCATTTTCAGCTTAAATTATGTTTATCAATTCTTTTTGCTTAATGAAGAAATTTATGATAAATATAAATAAACAGTTATGAAAAATGTTTATGCCCTGAATATTTAAAATATAAAACTTTGTTACTTGTTTTAGAAAAATAATTACCATTTTTCAATGCTATATAGGTTACATATTATTTCGCTATGTTTGTAATAAATGGGACTCTCCTCTCATGCGCCAGCTTTGTTGGTTTAATAATCCTGGAAAAGTAATAAAAGCTTTATGTTTTGATCCTTCTGGCTTGTGGCTACTTATTGTTACTCAAGATGCATCACTTTATATTTTGCCAGCATTTTCATTTTTTGTAAGTATTATTGAATATTTGATATTTTTAAAACTCCTAAGTTAGATACTGGAGTTAGATGAAATTAATGAAACACTTCTAAACTAAATTATTTTTCATATTTCTCAAGAAATATATCAAGAATTATTTTGTAACTTTAGAAGTGATTAGGTCATGCGATTTCTCATACATATCAATAAAGTTCCGAGATTTGAGGGACCAGCAATAAATTACAAATAAAGAAGAGTGGTTTTGAACACCCTATGCCAAAACATTTAACAATGAGATTATAACTTGTATCAGTTACTTTGGTTATCTTATGCATAAAATTTCTTAAACCAAGTTTAAGTATTTATTGAGATATGGACATTTATATTGAAAAAACTAATTCTTTTGCCTCACGTTTTCTTTCTATAACTGTAGAAACATTTAATAACGTTAAACAAAATTCTTGTAGTAGTTTTTAATTATCAAAAATATCATTTTGAAATGTAAAAAAAAATTGTGCAAGATATGAGCATTTAAAGTATTTTTTCATTCTGCGTATGAAGGCACGCTAATTTTTTTAAAATTCTTGTTATGAATTTTATTTGATAACTTATGAAAAAGGTACAATTTGAATATCTTGAAATTATAAAAAGTTTTTGGAAATTTTTTCAGCATTTTTTGTACTTTTTAAAGAAAGCTTTAAATGATTAGGTATTTTCCACAAATTTCATTTCATATTATGTAACAAAATTTAATAACAAATGATAATAGCCTACATTGAGTGTTCGTAAAGAAAATATAATGGTATAAGGAAAGAAAACATGTGAAATTAAACATATTTTAATAGGGGATGATCCTATATAATGCTGTTGTCATTTTTAATAAATATTGTTTAATGGTACAAAATAAAATTTGTGAAAAAACCTTCCATTCACAACTTTCTTTTCAAAAAACTACTTCTGAAAGTGTTAGAAACTGCTTTAATTTTATAGATATTCAAATTGTATTTTTTCATGAGTTACCAAATATGATTCCGAACAAAATTTTGAATTTTTTTCTTAATTTTTCCATGTGTGCTCAGATTGAAAGGATTACTTTAAATGCTCATATCTTGTGCAATTTTAAAATTTTTTTCTTCAGATTTTAAAACACTTTTGTTGTTAATTAAATTCTACTTTAAAAAATTTGTCCAGTTTTACAATTATATTAAGAAGACATAAGGCAAAAAATTAGTTTTTATAAAAATGTCCATGTCTTCATGAATGAGGCTAGGTTTATGAAAGTCTATGCAGCTATTGCATAGTTTAACCGAAGTAATTGATACAAGTTACAGTCTTATTACGAAAGGTTTTGGCATAGGGCGCTCAAAAACATTCCTTTTCATTCCTAATTAATTGCCGGTCTCAAACCTCGGAAAGTTTGACCTAAACATTTCTAAAGTTATTAAATAATTTTCTATGTATTTCTTGAGGAATATGAAAAAATTAGTTAGTTTAAAAGTGTTTCTATAATTTTGTCCAACCCCTGTATACTTTAATAAAAAAAATTTATTTCATTGTTCTAACTTTTCTATAAGTTTAAAGAAAAAGTATGATTTTCTAATGACATTCTATGAAATTGATACTTTCATACTGATACTTTTGATTATTGCCTTCTCTGTGCTTAAGTCTTTATACTGTGAGTTTGAAACTAACAACTGACTTCTTGTAAATGTCTTAACTGTTATACAAAAAGCCCTCCCAAAACTAGATTGGCGTACTTTACTTTATTGGTTTACATACTTTCATTGATTCACATATTTTATTGATTTAGGGTATATATTGTATATTTAGAGTGTATACTTGAGTTGGTGGAAATCAGTTTTGGGATACTTAGTACGAATGAAAATGTGTTCTCTTAAATAACTATACATTCATTAATACAGCAATTTCCAAATTAGGCTGCACAAAATTTGACAATTTTCCAAAATTATTAAACATAGTTTTAACAACAAATCTTAGTTTTTTTCATTACAGTTTTATTACTTTGTTACCTGTCTTCATTGCTTTTGGGCAGTTGTTGCATTTTCTCAAGTTCTTGCAATTTGTAACACACTTTTATTCACACACACAGCACATATTTGCAGTTCATTTTGTTTCAGCTACATGATTATTGAGTACTATGAGTACTATTTAAAATATAATGTGTGTTAATGTTGCATTTTTATCCCTTGTCTTCTAATGAGCTTTTCTAATAATAATAATAATAATTATAATAATAATAACATATATATATATATAAATATATTATTCATTTTTTGAATCTTCTATCTTCCATTATTGTTAGTTACTTTTATTGAGAATAAGAAGTTATTTTTTTACGATAGTAATTAATAATATAAATTTAAAGTTTTTTTATGAGTTATTATTTTTTGATATCTTTTTTAACAGTTTAGAAATGATGCCTTTACAGGTAATTTAGTTTTAATATGTATGATTTTTTTTATTTATTTGTACTTCATTTATTAAGGTATATGAATCTACAACTGGTTACATTTTAATTTGAAAAAAAAAAAAGACTTTTTTTAAGCATCAAGCTCAGATAAATGAATAAATTATTTTAGAATGGTTTATTAACTTTCTAGATGCAGTCCATATTTAATGAGGCCTTGATTTGTATTAAAAATGAAATGCTGTATTAATGCCTTTATTTTACTTTACTCCATCACAAATTTGAAAGAATGTATGCACATCTGAAATAATAAACTTATTTTTAAAAAAAGCATTTGATGTTTATACTTTAACTGTTGTTTAAGTATGATTTATTTTAAAAAAAATTGTTGCTTGAGTCCTTCATCATAAAATGTTTAATTATATTATTTTTTTGTTTCTAAGATGTTAATAATTGACAAAAAGGTAATGTTTTGAAATGGTATGATCAAAATTCTAAAATAAAATCACTACTTTGTATGTCTGGAATATAAACTTGTCCTTAATAAAGCGAAAATCTCTTGACAAATTTATGAAAAATGCATGAAAATTTAATAGTTTACGAATTTTTTTATTGTAAATTATTTCAAGAATGGTTTCAGATACAAATGTATATCATTTAAACAATTATTTACATGTCTCAGAAACGCAGATATCACACTGCTACTAACTTTTTGACTGATGAAATTTTGATGATAACATCACACTAAACTTAATATACTCTTTTCAAGAAATATATATTTAAAGATGTTAATAATTGAGGAAAATACTTTTGTTAAAAATCTAGATAATTATTTTGGCAGTTACGTGTTTGGCACTAAAATTTTTAATGTGATATCTTTTGAAAAGGTTTAGTTTCCTTTAAATATTAGATATCACGCATAAATATAACTTGACTGAATATAAAATTTCAAACATATTAGAATTTGTTACTAGTTAAAAAATAGTTACAGTTTATAGGTACTACTAAATTACGATTTTTAGTTATGTTTGGGAAATTAAATTGTAAATAGCAAAAGTTTGTTTAATGCATTGTTTATAGCAAAAAGATGTAAATGCATTCACTTCAAGTAGATGACAAAATTAAGGCATTCCATGGAATGTTGCACTTTTGAATCAAAGTTATAGGAGACATTGCTTTCCACTTTTATGCGAAAAACACTAAAATAGAAATTATATGGTAAAATATTGTTGCCCCTGTACCGAAAGTAAAGAAAAATATCAAATTTTGCTTGAATGCATTTACTCCATTGTAGTTTTTTTTCTTAAACGCTCTCATGGAATAAGTTTAGTTTTGTTGTCATATTCATGTTTTTCTCATTTTAGAATCCTGATACCAAGATATCTGCTAATTGGAAAGTGGATAATTTGACTGAAATAAAACTTCCTGGCAAAAGAGGTTTGTATTATATGTAAATATACAGTTTTCTTTTTTTTCTCTATCAGTACTAAATAGTATTTCAATAATTTCTTATTCTCCAGCGTCATTTACCTCGGTTCAGTGGTGGCAGACACATGCCGGAGAACATATTGCTATTATAGGCAGTGAGGTAGGTACTTTCATCTGGAAACACTTTCTAAGAACTATTTTAATACTTTACTACAAAGTATTTTTGTATTTAAATGTTTATTTGAAGGTATTAAATAAAATTATAATAAAACCTTTCATGAATTTAAAAAATTTACATGTCGAGACATTTAATTGAAGCAAAATTTTTTGCCTTAAACTTTGTTCATCTCTTCATCTTAAATGAACGTTCTTCTATGTGTATTTGCTACAAAGTGTGGAGCACTGATTAATTGCTCTAATTTTTGAAGAAAGCTTTAAGTGTTATTTTTCAATACTATGAATGGTATTTTTTAGTTGTATTTTAGTTTTTATTTTATATTGTATGTGTATTGTTTTTAGTATACTTAAAAGGGTGTTTACTTATGATTTGTTTCCTCATAACTCTTAACCTTTTTTCCAACAGAGAATTGCAACTGATTTAATAGTGGCTAAACTTTATTACTTAAATATAGGTGTACAATAATTAAAGTTATACATTTTCTTTAATAGCTTGGAGAAATTTCATTTGTGAATTTAGTTAATAAGAAAGAGGTTGGTGGTACTTATATAACCATTGGCATATCTGCACTTGATATTTTATATGATGAAAGTCATGATACTACTTACTTGTTGGTAAGTGTTTCATTTATTGTTTTAGTATATATTATGTCTTTTTTTTGCCAAGTTTTGGTAATTTTTGATTGACTTTTTCAAACCATAAAATTTTTGATATTTTATTTTGCATAAGATTTAATTTACTATAAAGTACATTTGGTTTGTAAATAGAGTGTATACTAAATTTCCTATGAATCTGTAACATATCAGAAAATTATGTTAAACTAAGTATCTTTTTGTTTGTTTCATGGGTTACAAACCTTTATTGTTTGTCTACTCTCTTCATCGTGCCTACCTTTATTAGTTTTTATGTAATTTATGAACTAGGTAAGATCTACTAAATGCTCTGCCTAGAAAATTTTAAAAAAAACTCCGATTAAAAAAATATATTCGATTAAAAAAATGTGAGCATGTTAAAAATCAGTGATAAAAATTGTTGTTTGATGAAAATATCTAAAACAATTACGGATAAAATACTAATTAAATTGTTTTTTTTAAACTTATAAATAATATGTTACTATAGTATTAATCCTTAGTTTTTTTTCCATTTTTTTGAAACTTGATTAGTTTCTGTATGTCAATATAGTTTTATGTTATGATGTTACTAACAACTACTATAAAGCACATGAATAACTTTTTGTTGAGGTTTTATTTATGACTTATTCATTTCCTTAAGATTACAGGATATAGTCAACAACAATGGCGCTTATTACTAGAGGAAAAGAAGTCAAATTTTTACTGGCCTTTTAGTTCTGATTCTGATGTTAGCAATATCAAGAAAGGAATGCCTGTTGCTGAGAGAATTTTACTTGCTGGTAAATTTATTTAATATTATATATAAGTGAAGGATTTTAATCAAGCATAAAAGAATAAAAAATTATGCCTTATAACTATGCTCATAAATGTTGAATTGAAATAAAAATCCTTGCTCATAAATGCATATTGTCTAATCAGTCCATTTTTGTCATACAGGCAAATACAACTTCTAATTATATTACAAATTTGCAAGTGGGCAAAAAAGTTTAATAAATAAATAAGTATATAACTACATGTTTTCCGTTTCTCCAGTTTTCCCTTAATTTCATATAGTATTGTGTTTTTAACATTAAACTTCAATCAAAATCTAAATATTTTTTTGATTTTTTTTAGTCAAATTATGTTGATTCTTTTTTCTATTCTTTTTTAGTGCAAACACTTTTGAGTTAAAGTGAAACTATTATACTTACTTTGTTCCTTTTCCAATTTACTCTTTAGGTGTTCTTAGCTTCTCTTTAAGAAGTTTTGGCCAAGGCTTTGTTTAATTAATTTAGCAATGCTGAAAATTGAGATGGATCATATTTAAAAATATCATACTGTAGTGATGTATTAATTATTGCTGTATTTTGCTTTTTTGAGCTGTATTGGAAAATAATGTTCATTCTAAATAAAATTTTTATCACTAAACTTAAATAAAAAATAACTTAAATGACCTTAAGATGTTTATAAGATGCCCTTTTTTATATTTTCAGATGAAAAAAATGGTGATCAGAGGCCTCACCGATTATCTAAATTTGAAAGTGGTACGTTTTTGACCCCTCAAGGGGGGGATGGCAGAAATCTTGTTTCAGCTTACAGTTCATCATCTTGCCTTCTTCAGGTAAATATTTTAATTATTTAATGTAGGTTTTATGTTTATCATATTATGCAAAACAAGGCAATGAAAAATATTGATTTTTCATACAGATATCTCATGCAAATTTTATTTTTGTTGGATTTTACAATCAGGAGTTTATTTTTTACTCTGGCTTTATTCTATACTTTTCCTTTATGATTTTTATTCTAAAAGACTTAGTAACACAAAACTGATATCTTGTTAGCATTTGATTTGATTTAAATACTTTAACATGAATGTGTTATCTTTAACAGAGAAACAATATTTCATTGTTCAATCAGTCCAGTCTTTAAAGAAATGTCCAGTCAAAGGTCACATATGAAGATGAGTTTCATGAATTTCACTCCTATTCTGAGATTTTTTTTTACTTAGAGTTGACTTGTGAGTTATGAATGTGATTTTGACTAGTATTGTATTTCAACTATGTCCGAAAGTGATTGGCTTAAGTATATTGTAACATGTTGACTAAATTTAAAGGCAATTTATTTTACTATCGGAAATTCATTATAATGGATAAATTAGATTTATTTTCCAATTAATCATAACTTCTCTTTGAAAACAACTTTGCTTTGCTTACATGGCTACTTTTTAAATGGCTTCATTCTATTTATACTAAAAGTGTTCAATTTCAAGGATGTTGAGGTAGAGAAAAGTTTTTTAGATAAGTGATCTTAAATGGTGGACTTATGTAGTGAACAATGAGCGAATTGTTTCAATCTTTGTTGCTTCAAATGCTTAACAATGGTTAAGAAATTCTCAATTTTCTTTTACATACATTTAATGGATTTTTCATTTTTATCACCATTTATTTAATTATGTATAGCTGAGTATTTTATCATAAGTAATGTTTCTTTTGTCTCATTTATGCTTTTTTTAAAAAAAATGCAAGTTTTTATTGTGGTGATTTTATAATTTTAGGCGGTTATACTTTTATTTTTGAAAACTTGAATGTAAACCAATATTTTTGTTGTCAAATAAAACTTTTTCCATGTTGTTTATTTGCGAGGAACTGCAGTGGACAGAAAATTGACTTTAGGTATTTAATTGTTTACTTTAGAAAAATTAAAATTGCAATATTTTTTTTTTGTAAATTTGACTCAACATAAAAAGTTCTTGTATATAGACCTTTTTGTCTAAAGCAATCATAAGTACTATTTAGAATTATCAAACTGATGTAAATTTGTTATTTTATTTTGCAACAATTTTTTAAAATAGAGGTATTTTAAAATGCACCCCGGAGCAGAAATTTCAAACAATTTCAGTTGAATCAATAAAATTTAAAAGAAGTCTCATTACAAAAAACTGCATTGATATTTTTTTAAAAGTATCTGAATAATTGAATCATTGACAATTTTGATGAAAAGGGAGAGAGAAATGCCATGTTAGATACAATGTTTTGTGTTTCCTAATATATTTCAAATGAACTGTTAAAAAGTCATTCCATAATATTTGATTGTAATAAATTTCCTCATAAAATTGTTGTTAATTAGGAAAAATTGGTTACACCTTTTACCAAGGAGCAGTTTGAGACTAAAATGATCTAAAAATAAAATTTTAAATTTTTTTAAGTTCACCCATTATAACTTTATTTGTATAACAGTATAACTTTAACAGTATAACTTTTATTTGTAGTTTTTACTTTATCATATTGCGACATCATAATCTCCTTGTTTTTTACTTCATTAAATTTTAGATTTTATTTACTTTATTGCCAATGTTTTCATTCAGAAGCTGTAGAAAAATCTTGATTTTCATATTTCTAATTTAGACATAAAAAAAAAACTAGTGCTGTCAAAGTACACAAAACAAAATTTGAGTTTTTGTTAAACTGAGTAAATTTTTTATTAGATTTTTTATAGTGTTTTAGTATTTAGAAAGATTAAACTTAGATAAATGTTTGCTATGAATCTCTGAAAATTGCTTTGTATGCTTTATAAATTTATAATACCATCATTTTTATGTAATTTTGGTCTCTGTGTTTAGGTCCTTGAAGGTGATTTGGATCAAATGCATCTATTTTCTTATAAAGTTCCTGCTGAGTGTGAAAGTATCGTGTTATCCGACAAATTTATTTTTGCAACCCTAAGAGATCAAACAGTTTCAAATCAACGTGTGTTTAAAATCATTTCAAGAAAGTTTTCTGAAATTTCTTCTGAAAATGCCAAAAAGGTATATTTTTAAAATTGAAATTAGGGGTAAAATAGTTTATGTATTTATATGTAAAATGATCTGTAAAATATTGCCTTTTATTTGGATTTGAGTTTTTAATTGCAAAAATATGAAAGCTTTTCTTTTTAAGTTTATCTCAATTAAAATGAGCTGAAATTAATTAGATTCTTTTCATTCTGTTACTTTAAACTTCTTCATTTCATACCAATTTTATCTTTTGAACAAAGTAAATATAGTTAAGTAAATATATTTTTAAGCTTGAACATCAAATAAAATTAGAATTATTTATTATTCATTAAGTTTATATTAAGTTAAATTTGTTAATTGATAAAAAAGGTTTTATTTGGAGAAAAATTGTTTTATGTGATTTGGAAAAAGGTACAGTCGAATTCCACTATAATTTTTTATCTGCAGGCTGAGAAATGAATCCACTATAAATGATGATTCACTATATCCAAATTCTTCTAAGAATATAAATTTAGCTTATGACAGTCATATTTTTGAAAATAGTAAGTGTGATATTTGCTTATAAATTATTTACTAATTAAAAAACTAATAAATAATTGTTATAAAGAAAAATTATTGCTTAAGAACTGAAACTTGATTTTTATTTTTATATTCTATGGAAGAAATTAGTAATTCTCCAGTGAATAGTTCAAGTAGAATGAGTAATTTAAGTAGAGTTCACCTATTTTCTATTCAAAAATTAAAAGAGAAACTAATATTTTCTTGTTCTTATATTGAGTAGAAAAAAGGAAAAGAAAAAATTGTTGAAAAAAAGGTTCTGGATATTTGCTGAAGATTTCACTCCAAAAATAGAAGGTGCTAAAATTTCAACTTCTTCTAAAATCAGGGTGAGGGAAAAAGATGAATGTGCTGTTTAAACTACTTAAAAAAGTAATGAGCATGAAAAAAAAAATTTTACTCAATAATGTAAGGTAATAAAATGTATGATTTGCAGTCTAAACTTGTGTAAAGTTTGGAAAGATGAAAAAAAAAAACAGTTAAGGAAATTAGTGTTAAGTGTAAATTAACTACCACTTTCTCAACTATTCACTATAACTAGGGCTGCAGGTTTGTCGCGGTGCGAATTTCCGCAAAATTGTAATCTTTTTTCCTAAAATCCGCGAATTTCTCAATATGTCTTGACTTGCGCGAAAATGGCTTAAAATTTGATTTTTTATTTATTATTTTTATTAAACAGAATTTTTTATTTTTCTGAACCTTAAATTGAACATGTAAAATTGATTAGATATTTAGGGGAGTGAATCAATAGCAAAATGACATGAAAATAGTTCAGAGATAAGAGATAATCACAATCTTGTCAACTAAGGTGGTCTTTCTACACTTAGGGAGGGTAATTACCTTCCTGAAGTCAGTAAGAGTACAAAAGAAATTGGAATCACAAAAGAAGGAAAATGTTATAAATCAAATCTTTGACAGAAAAATTGTTATACATGCTATTGCACTGGGCAATGAAATTTCTACTGCCTTTCTACATATCCAGTTAATTTTTCCTAGGCGGCTTCTTGTGATTTCTTAAATATGGATCAGTTTCTTAGATGAAGGGGGGGGAATAGTAGTTAGTAGGGACTTGTAACTAGTAGTTTGAATGTAGAATGTTTGAGTTTTCACAGCAATTACTTCTTACAAAGCAACGGTCAAGGAATTGCGCGTTGGTGAAGGAAAATTGATCGAGTTTTGGAAATCAAAGACCGAACGCTCCAAAATTGGCAAAAGTGGCAATTCGAAGTTTGTCGGTGCCTAAAAACAGCGTTGACGCAGAAAGATCGTTTTCTAAGTATAAAAATGTATTAAGTGATGAAAGACGAAGGATAAATGAGAATAATCTGACAATGTACAATACTTTGTACCAAAATTCTGTTCATTTAAATAAAAATATTAATATTGCTTGAAATTCAAAGAAATACTTTTGTTGTGTATTTTTAAGTTTTTTTTATTATTTGCGCAATTTCTGTCATTTGCATAATTTTTATAATAAATTTTTTTATGTTAAGAATTTGTGTAATTTTCAAAATTTCCCGCGATTTTTTCGTGAATTTGGGGTCTTTTTTTCCCGCAACAAACTTGCAGCCCTAACTATAATCATATGAAATAGATTTATTTGAATTTAGACAAGTCACTTAAAGAAGGAACTGAGTGTTCATGTCCCAGGTTCATTGCAGAAGGAATTGACTGTTAATCTTGAGTTTGATGTTGACTCTTACTAAATAAAGTGTAAACTTAAGTATCTGAGCCTCTTTAATCATAAAATCTGTATTAATCAAAGTGGATTTCTCTGTGTCTTTCTTAACTCAATTAGACTAGTGTTTACCGAATATTGCCACTAATATTAACGGTGTTGCATTCTTGAAATAATGCAAAAACAAAACCTTCTGTCCCTGAAAGAAATCATTAATTCTAATGTCTCCAGCTTTAAAGGCTTTCTAGAATGATAAATCTCATATTAATGAAACATTTTGATCAGAAATGTCATTTTATAATGATCAAAGTCAAGTTTATTATAAAAAAGCAGTATTTAATAAATACGTACTGTGAAAAGGGAATGTATGCCTTTTTCTTGTTTGAATGTATTCAGTTATATTTCTCTCTTTTTCTCTCAGTTGAAGATTTAGAGTTATTAATCCTTTTACTAAAAGAAGAATTCATTGATGATTTTGTGTACAAGCAAATAAAAGTTGTCTTGAACGAGAAATTTACCCTCTAAATATTATTACTCTGTTATGAACTAGTTTACCACTGAATAAAATGGAGAAAGCGTTTTATGTTGCATGAAAGCCACCAGCTTATATTTCAGATAAAACTGAAAATAACGTTCAGGCAGTTAAATGATATTACAGATTTTGTATAATTTTAAGACCACTAATGAAATAGTGTTGATTATATCAAATTCATACATTGTTATGGTGACAAAAACAATTTGTGTAAGGAAAAATTATATTTTTTATGTAATATATTTTATTACTAGAAGACCTATTACAAATATATAGGTTATAAAAAAACTAAAATTTTTATTTAATTTTTTTAATCTTTTTTCTTTAATTTTTAGAAAGAATCTCAGTGTGCAGAAATACAAAGCTTTGTCTTTAGTGATAAAATAATTGCTCTTTACAAATTATTAAACCATTCATCAAGGAAAAAAAGGGTTTCTTTTTCTGCTCAAGGTAATTCAAGTGAAAATCCTGATAATCTTGAAATATCTGAATCTGCCTCCAACTTCAATGTTGTAAATAAATCTTTCAATAATCTTGGTACAAGTCAAAGTATGCATACTTCTGATATTAAAACAAGAACATTAGAGGGATGTATTTTAATCCAGAAAGATTGTGTCTGGGAATGTAGACAAAAGTAAGTTCTGGATTAATTTTTATAAAATTTTCTTTGTTGTGCTTGCAGTGATTATTATTAATCTCTTCACATATGATTAGAGTTATTTAAATTTTTAAGCAAAGTTTGGCTTGAAAACAAAATTGTACAAGTATTTTTTTCCATTTAATGTTTCGTTTTTTTATGTTAATGTTTAAAAAATGAAATAGTGCTTTTGAAATTATGGAAGAAAACTTGTTTAAATGTAATTACAGTGTTAAAATACAAATATATGTTGATTTTATATTACTTGAGATGAATTTTGTGTAGCATTTTTTCTTATGATTCCATATTTTAACCGTTTTAATTTCTCTATTTAATTTGATAATTTATTTTTTAGTGTTTAAATTAAACATAATTAAAATTAAACATGTCAATTAAACCAAAAATATTTATTCATTTTATTCTTTGTTCAAGTAATTACCCGAAATCTTAACTTTTTGTCAGGTATTTAACTTTTAATATTTACGTATATTATATCTGTTGTGGGTTCACATAAGCGATATTTTATAGGAAAGCAGGAAATATTTTAGTTGTAAAAAATTAGCAACACATTACAAAAATATAGAAAAAAAAATCGATAAGTGAAAAGAAAAACGATGTCTGAAAGTAGTTATTCTTCCAATGTGTCTCCCTTTGTAAAATGTCCTCGTCCTGTAAATAGATATGCTCTTGTCTAAAACAACCTGTTTCTTCCTCTTGTGAGTCGTAGTCCAATATTGGTATAAAATTCAAAGTTCAACTTCGCAACATTAAGTGGCGTCTGTGTGATATTCAAGAGCCAAGCATAAAAAAGAAATGAAAGTAAGTGAAACTATCAAAAACTAATTAATATTTCACTTCATAAATGGAAGCATTAAGAAATAAAAGAAAGCCATTGCGTTAAGGATTTACTTTAACTGCCAATAATTTAGAAACAGAGTTATCGAATACGGAGGTTAAAATGGATCGCGTAAGTGGACTAATAAATTCGAAAGATAAAAAGATGTGCAAACTCAGATTTCTGAAAATTTATTAAAACTGGAAAATAGCGATGATTATGAAAAAGATTTTGAAGCCAATGAAGAATATAATTACAGATATGTGTACTTAAAACAAACTGTTAATCTTCGTTTGGCAAATAATGAACCAAGTTCACAAAATAGTGCGGAAATGAAGAGAAAATACAACCTTCCAATGTTAGAACTACAAAAATTTAATGGAGAAATGAAAAATTGGCTCGGATTTCGGGGACAGTTCCGTAAAATACACGAGGACAACACCATCGATGATGATGATAAATTTCAATATTTGGTTCAAGCAATGGTTCCCGGGTCACCAGCAAAAGAACTGGTAGATAGTTTTGCACCGTCAAACCAAAATTATCAAAAAGCAATTACTCAACTAAATTCAAGATTCGCAAGAGATGATCTGATGGTCGAAATCTATATTAGAGAATTGTTAAGATTAGTGTTGGCACAGGCCACAAAAAAAGGTCACATGCCATTGGCGACATTGTATGATAAATTTGAAACACACTTTCGAGCTCTGGAATCACTTGGTGTTAAAAGTGATATTTATGCCGCCATGCTTTACCCATTAGTAGAATCAGCTCTTCCAGAGGATCTTTTGAAGGCTTGGGAGAGATCTCGATCATCCGGAGAAACAAATGGCAGCACAGAAAATCTTACAAAATTATTGAAATTTCTCAGAATTGAAGTTGAAAGTGAGGAACGTCTACAAATAGCTCGTAGTGGATTCGGTAGCCAAGGAAGTTTTGATGTAGTTTTACCCACTGCCGCTTGTATATATTCTGGTGATTCGAGGAATAACACGAGTGATTTCAAAAAGTTTGAACGTATATGGTGTGACAAGGATTCACATAGCTTAGTGGAATGTTTCAAGTTAGACAATTTAAATTATAACGATAAAAAGACAGTTTTAAAAGAAAAAAGAGCATGTTTCCGTTGTTTGAAAATCGGCCATCGAGCACAACAATGCAAAAGTTCTGTTAAATGTTTAATTTGTAATAGAAGAAATTTGACAGTAATGTGTTGGAACATAAAAAATGGTGAAAACCAAGGTCAAACAAAGTCAAGTACTAAAGGAAAAAATGATGAAAATAGCAGTAGTTCTAAAACTCCTGTTAATCAACAAAAGGGTGAAATGTTGAAACACTCACAGTAAAGGTTGAGGGCATAGATAAAACAGATAGACTCGCAAGAGTTTTGGTTAATTCCGGTTCCCAAAGGTCATATATAAAAACAGAGGGGATAAAAAAGCTAAATTTGCCAATAGTTAGAGAAGAAACTTTAAACCATGCATTGTTTGGCGGAATAGAAACTGGTCAGGAAAAACACAGTGTCTATGATGTCAATATAAAATCCCTAGTTGGTCAACTCAAAATTACATGTCCAATGTTAGCCCAGACAAAGATATGCAATTTCGTACCGAGATTAATGAATCAAAACATTTATCCCATTCTACAGCAAAAATCAATTAATTTATCAGACGTTGGGGACAATCCTTTAGAAATTGAAGTGTTATTAGGTACGAATGTATTGCCTCAAATTCTCACAAGTAAAATTGAAAAATTGGATGAAAATATTATGGCTATTGAAACTCGGTTTGGGTGGACAATAATAGGTCAACAACATAGAGACGAAAAAACAAACACAATTTTATGCTTATTCTGCCAACCCAGCATTGAAGACCTTTGGAGCTTGGAGACTATTGGAATACGAGATCCAGCCGAAGCTAAAACAACAAAAATGATGAATGAAGAAATTTTTAGAATTTTTTGAACAAACTGTTCGCACAGATGAAAGTGGTAGATATGAGGTTAGTTTACCATGGAAGGATACTCATCATATCTTATGCAATAATCGCCAACATGCGAAAAGTAGACTGGTGATGCTAACAAAAAGATTAAAAAGAATTGGAAAATTCGAAGAATATAATAAAGTACAGGAACAATGGCTTCAAGAAGGCATCATTGAAATGGATGAAAATTGTGAAGAGCCAGGAAGTCACTATTTACCACATCAAGCAGTCATAACAGAGTCCAGCCAAACTACAAAACTGAGACCCGTATTTGATGCGTCTTCCAAAGATGGTAATGGAACATCTTTAAATTCTTGCATAGAAAGTGGACCAAACTTATTAGAGAATATTCCAAAGATGCTCATTCAGTTCAGGAAGTATTCCTATAGGATAACATCAGATATAAGAAAAGCATTTTTAGAAATTGGAATATCTGAAGTTGATAGGAAGTACTTGAAGTTCTTATGGTGGGATAGAGATGGAAAAGAAATTATAACCTGGAGACACAGAAGAGTCGTATTTGGTCTCATGTGCAGTCCATTTCTGCTCAATGCTACGATTCAACATCATTTACAGAATCAAACTGGAGAGTTTCAGAAAACGGCCGAAGAGCTTGCAAAATCATTTTATGTAGGCAATTGTGTCACCGGTGTTGAAAAAGAAAAGGATGTCGAAAAATTTATTCACGAAGCCTGTCTTTTGATGACAAAAGGAAAATTCGATTTAACCCACTGACGGTTCTGCACGTAAAAAGTCGCATTTTAACCTGCAGTCTTCTCTGCATAGCAAAACCGGTTTTCCCATGTTAACTGATAGGGGAACTGTGTGTAGGGGAGAAACATTCGCCCAATTTTGCCCTTCTCCCTAACCGCCAGTGGGTTAAGAGGATGGGTCACAAATGTTACAAGAAAAAAGAAATTACAGGACACGCAAGACACCATAGTTCCAATTCTGGGGTAGATGTGGGACACAAAAACAGATGAATTATTTTGGGAAGTCAACTCAGTAAGTCTAGCAACCCAAGAAATAACGAAACAAATGTTGCTCTCCGTGTCTCAAAAAATTTTCGACCCTTTGGGATTTTTGTGTCCAGCTACTTTACTTCCAAAGTTACTTTTACAAGAAGCATGGAAAAAAATTGTGGTTGGGATGATAAACTTCCTGAAAACATATAAAATAAATTTGTTCAGTGGTGGGAAAAAATTAAGAGGTTACGGGAATGTCGCATCTCAAGACACATGCATATTTTTAAAGCAAATATAACTATTCACGTTTTCTGTGATGCAAGTAAAACATCATATGCAGCATGTGTATTTCTCAGATCTGAAAAAGAAAACAATGTTGTTGTTATTAGCTATAGCAAAAGCCAGAATAGCACCGATGAAGCAAGTCACTATTCCTAGATTGGAACTTTTGGCTGCAGTCTTAGGCTCACATTTATATTTAGACGTTCTTAAAGCTTTAGAGAATCAAAAGTTTGTAACATATTTCTGGACTGATTCACAGGTTGCATTGACTTGGATAAAAAAGAGAATTGGACAGTTTTAGTCAAAAATCGATGTGAGGAAATCCGTAAAAATTGTAGCATTGAAGATTGGTACTACATTCCAAGTGAGCTAAACGCAGCTGATCTCCTATCTAGAGGCTGTTGTCCAAAAACATTATTTAAGAACAAATGGTGGAACGGTCCAAACTGGTTTAAAGAAGACCAGGAAAGTTGGCCTAATAGTGACTTTAACGTTGTTGACAATATCACCGAGAAGAAAGAAACATCAACTTTATCACATGTTGTATCAATTCCTGAAGTGTTGAGTACAAGACTATTATATTTCTCTAAGTATCACAAATTGTAAGATTGATGGCATGGATTTTGCAATTTATGCGAAATACTCAAACTAACATAAGAAAAGAAGAAGTTTTAGATGTGACTTTGAGCAGCACAGAGTACAATGAAGCAGAAAATCTCCTTTTAAAGCTAATTCAAAATGAAACTTTCACAAATGAAAAAGACGAAAGAATAAAAAATATGCAAATTTTTCGAGATGAAAATGGTCTAATAAGAGTGAAGACCAAATTGTTATTGGAAGAAGAAGATCTTGATTTCAAAGCACCAGTGTTATTGCCAAACCATCACTTAATTGTTTATCGTCTATTACGTGAAATGCATGAAACATCTTTGCATGCTGGTTTACAGATAATGCTCTCAAGAGTTAGAGAAAAATATTGGATCTGTGGAGCAAGACGACTCATAAAGAAAATAATATCACAATGCACTATCTGTCTAAGATTTAAAGCCAAACATTTGGAGACTCCTACTGCATCCTTACCAAAAGATAGAATTACCAATTCAGCAGCATCCAATTCGGCATCGATTATGCTGGACCATTATATCTCAAAAATGGTGGGAAAACATGGATAGCTCTTTTTACTTGTGCAGTTTATAGATGTCTTCGCCTTGAACTAGTTCAGAATTTATCTACACATGCTTTTTTGGATGCACTTCGTAGATTTATAGCACACAGAGGAAGAGTCGATACTATTTACACAGATAATGGTGCGAATTTCCGTGGAACTAACGATAAACTCAGAGAGTTGAATTGGGAAGAAATTCAAGATTCCTCATCCATTCATAGGATCAATTGGAAGTTCATACCTCCTTCATCTGCTTGGTGGGGAGGAATTTGGGAGTGGATGGTAAGAATGACTAAGGAAATTTTAAGAAGAATCCTCGGTAGAGCATTGCTTGCATATGAAGAGTTGAATACTATTCTTTGCGATTGCGAAGCCATAATAAACTCAAGACCTTTGACATATGTGTTTGATGAAGATAGCTTAGGACCATTAACGCCAGCCATGTTTTTAAATAGCCTGACAAGTGCTGATGTTACTGATCTAGACAAAATTGATAACACAACCTTGAACAATAGATATCAATATTTACAAAATATCAGAGAAAACTGAAGACAGCGATTCAAAACAGAATACTTGGCTCAACTTGTACAGCGTGGTAAGGAATGAAATAACAATTTAAAAGAAGGAGACGTGGTGCTCATTGGCGATGATAATGTCAAAAGAATAAATTGGCCTTTAGCAGTTGTCTTAGAGTTATATCCCGGCAAAGATGGCATATCGAGAGCTGTGAAATTTAAAACAATCCATGGAGAAAAAACAAGACCCTTACCAAAGCTTTTTCCCTTGGAAATTTCGCCTAAAGAAGCAGATTTTTACAAACCGAAATCAGCAGTCCCTGTTTCAGAAGGAATACAGGAGAATATTACTCGCCATGGAAGAAAGATAAAAATACCAAATAAACTGGACTTGTGAGCCATAAAACATTTTTACATTAGGACATTAAGAGTTAAAAATATCTTTATAATCAGAAATTGTTGTTAAAAAAAAAAAGAAAAAAGAAAATTGAAAGTTGAAAATTTATTTTGTTGGTGGGGAGGATGTTGCGGGTTCGCATAAGCGATATTTTATAAGAAAGCAAGAAATATTTTAGTTGTAATAAATTAGCAACATATTACAAAAATATAAAAAATATAGAAGAGACAATCGATAAGTAAAAAGAAAAACAATGTCTAAAAATAGTTATTTTTCTTATGTGTCTTCCTATGTAAAATGTCCTCGTTCTGTAAATAAATGAGCTCTTGTCTAAAACAACCTGTTTCTTCTTCTTATGAGTCGTAGTTCAATATTGGTATAAAATTCAAAGTTCGACTTCACAACAATATCAATAATGAAGTGCATAAAAAAAAATCAAGCTGTTGACAATTAATATCTAGACTTACTTGGAAAAGATTTTATCCCGAAAAACCTATTTTCTATTCCATACCTTTTTGGCTTAGCAAACTAATGATATATATATCTAGATATTAACACTTGCTTATTATTTATCATCACCATGGTGTTATATTATTTTGTAGTTCGAGAGTAAAAAATGATTTTCTGAGCAGCGACTAAGTTTTATGTATATTTCTGATTGTGATTTAATAAAAAGTATTGGTCTGACGAATACCATTCATTTTCCAAATATTTTTTTAGTTTTCTCTTTAATTTAGGTTTAATTCCTTAGGTAATTTTGCAATTTTCTAGGTTAATTTTAATATATTAAACAAGCCATGGTGGCTCAGGGAATAGAGCACTCACCTCCCAATGAGGTAACTTAGTTTGGAATCCCATCAGTGGCTGGTTGATGCGAATTTCCACCCAACTCGTACTGACCACAGTGCTGATGAAAAATATCTTCTGTGGTAGATGGAACATGGGTTAGAGCCCTCTTGCTGTCAAGTTAATTGTGGGACGCTTTCCTGTTTTATCCTCTCTATGTAATGCAAATGCAGGTTAGTTTCATAAAAAAAATCCACCACGAAGGCAAATTTCTCCTAATACTTGATCCAGGAGTTCCCTTGTCTTTTGGATCGGTTCAAAATTACAGGGCTGCTGATTGGGATAAAAAAATAATAAAATATGTTAATAAGAGTTTATTTTGGAAGTTTTGTCAGGGAATATTAAATAACTTTTTTAGAACCTTCAGTTATTTTATTTACATTAACTGTGTTATTCTCTTTAGAATATCTGCCAAAGAACTGTTTTTAAGCCTTACAGATACACCTACAACATTACCGTTGGCTGAAAACGTATGCATGATGCTAGGATTAGACTTACACAAACTGTACGAAATCGCAGCTGATAAGCAACTATCAAATGGGCGATTTCCTCAAGCTGTTCATTTGTATCAATTATCAAAGGTAATATTTTCTTCTTTTTTTTCAAAGTATGCTCTGCATAAAGTCACTGAGTAAGATTATCTTTCTTTGTAGTGCCCACAATTAAAGCGAGTTGCACATTTCATGGGATATGGATTCTTGTCAGAATTAATAGCATATATACAAGTTCTTTTTAGTACTAAAGGTGTTGAAATAGTATCTGCTGATAAATGTCACTTTGCTAACATTGCTCTTCATTGCTTTGCTCACCAAGCTAAAAATAAACTGACAGAAAGAATGATGATAAACACAGCTTTTAAGTGAGTAATGTTTCGCTTTTTCTTTGCCTATTTATGAAACATTTAATTTAAAATGCAATAATTTAAAGGAGCTCTAAGGAAATTGGGAAAATCATACTTTATCTAACGATTTAGAATAATTCTTTTTAGAAACTTAGTGTTATTATTTTGTCTAAAAAAGTTTTTTTTATGCAGTATTAAGTTTTTTATGCTCTTCTTGTTAACAAAAATTATTTATTCATGTTCACCAATAGAAAAAAGGCTATTGTATGAAATTCTCTGAAATGTAGGTTCTGCCATTTTGACCTATGACTATCTCTTTTTATTTTAAATTTATGTTTTTGTTATAGCATTCAATGTCTTGTTGTAAAAAGATATTTTTTATAAAGTTATTGCTATTTTTGTACATTATTTCAGTTTAATGAAACTAGTCTTAACAGTCTTATATTTTTCTTAACTTTATGCTAATTGCTTTGTTAAATGGAAAATTTTTTTTTCTTTTTTTATTTATTGAGAAAGTTGTGCATAATAAGAAAAATTCTGTAAAATTTTTTCTGCACAATACTCTTAACCTAATGACTGCAGAGTCATAAAGTTTTGAAAATTAAGACACATCAGATCTAACTTCTCCGTTTTGTAGAGTACAGAAATATTTTTATTGGTTGTTAAAAATTTATTTTAATTTCCATGAAAACTAGATAAAAAAAAACTGACACACATTAACATAGATACTCTACAAGTTTATTTAATTGCTTCTCTTAAGTGTATCAAGTCTGACTGACGTCTTTTGCAAAATATATTTGTTGTATTTTTTTTAAAAATAATTTTGTAGCTTGAAAAAGTTTTTAACTTTTAACATCATGGGGTTTATAGGGTCACTTCTTTTCTGCCATTAACTGTAGTCTTTGTGTACCTCAGTTAGAAACTTGGTATTTCACTTTCAAGATTTTGTAAAGAGTGAGGATAAGATAATGAGAATAAATTTTCATTAAGCTTAAAAACCTATTGTCTATATTTATTTAAAAATGGAAATATATTATGTAAGAATAGGATTGTTTAAATTTGTTAAAATTGATATTTATATGCTACTGATTGAATTTGATTTCAGAAAATTTTTAAAAGAGAATCTATATTATGATGAAGAGGTATCTGCAAAACTTTTGGCTGAGCAAGGTCTTTATGAATTGATACACTTTTTTGCAAAGGTATTGTATTTCTGGTTAATCAAATTGTAGTTGAATTAGTATAAAATGAATTTTTTCAAGGTACGAAATTTGTATTATATTTTCTTGTAATTTACTTTTGGGATTGCTCTTGATATAAAGCATGAAGTTGCTGAAAATATGTAATATTTTTGTGTGACACATTTACTATGAACAAGAAAGTCAATTATAAGAAAAGTTAAAATATTGTTTATTTTGAGTTAAATAATTTTGCTTCATAACCACAAGGAAATATTTCAATGTAACAAATACTTTATATGTATGTAGGTTTATTTAAGAATAATAAAAATAATTTTTTAATAATAATAATAATAATTTTGTTAAAAAATGACTTAGTTTATAAAAGTAATTTTCGTAACACATGCTGATTTATTATCTTTTTATTATGGTAAGATATAGGTTGTGTAACTGAAACATGTGTAACTGAAATATGAAGAAACATTTTTTGAATTGATACATATTTTAACTTTTTATTTCTCTTAATTAATATGTATCAATTCAAAAAACATCTCTTAATTCTTTTACTTTTGATCCTGGGTATTTTTTTGTTTACCAAATCAGTTTCTCTCTGTATTATTCTTTGGAGACACACAGATAAGCAATGATTGACTAAACATTGCTATAGCTTTTCTGAATGTATTAGTCTCATAACAGATTAAATCTAATAATAAATGATGATCAAAACAAGTACTATAATGTGTTTATTTATCAATTCTTTCATGCATAAGCTCAAAATATTATTCTTTAAATCTAATCTTTACTATAATAATTTTAATAAGTTATGGGATTTTAATTATGAAGTTACATTTTTTATTTTTTTAGGTTCGAGGGCAACAAGGCTTGGCTGTGGAAACATTGTTGGTCACTGATGGAATCAAAAATACTATTGATGCACATATTTTAGATATTTTACGAAATTCACCTTACGAAGTTATTCTTCATCATGAAAATGCTGGTAGGTGGTTTTACTAGCATTTTCTATTGATTTTATTCATTTGAACTTAATAGTTTGAAATTTTTCTGGGTTTCCTTTTTGTTTGTTTCAGTTTGAGTATTCAGTATATTTATTTTTATAAAGTATCTTTTCATCCCTTCAGTGGGTCGATAAATGAGTACCAAGCATGCTTGGGAACTAAACACTGGGGGCTCCGCGTCCGGCTGACCACCTGACCGGAACATCTGCTTCTGCACCCCAGAGCCCAAGGTCAAGAAAACTGAGATGGGCACAGTAGGCCTTGGCCCTCTAGGGCTGTCGCACCGCTGAGTTTAGTTTATATATATGTATNACTTATATATTCACTGTCGCCTTTAATCGAAAACAAAAATCTATTTATAACTTTTTATTCAAAATTTCCAACTGCTAAATGTTTCGGTTGCATGGTTGTAATAATTCTCATAAATTTGTTGGCGATTCGTGATCGCCAAGGTATTCTTTTTAACCCATATTGATATGCTGGTTGGCCTTTGTTTTGGCTTTGATATATTATGATAAATCGCCAAATTATGGATCTCCTACCCATACTTTCTACGTTCATTGGGAATAATTATATTCACTTGGAATTTAAAATTTGTGGTGACTAGGAGTCCCCTTTGGGGGCGCTCCTGTCCCAGTCATTCTAACGATTTAAAAAGATATGCAATCATAACAAAATGTTAAAAAATTAAAATGTTGTTGCTTATTGTAATGATCACTATAAAAATTTATATTTTGTTTTACAGAACTTTAAATTCATTATTATTGATTAGAAATACATAATAAAACATAAAAATTTATTATCACTAATTCAGTATAAGCTTCTGAACTTATGAAACATAAAAATCTGCTTTCTACTTTTGTTAAACGAGACATATTTGATTTTCAATTGAAATTCATTATCATCAGGAAAAATCATCTAAAATTAATGGTTGTATTTGACATCATTTGGGAGAGAAAAGTGTATACAGTGAAGAAATCATAGCTAATAAAATATTTTTTTTTTTTGTACTGAAAATATTCCTCTCTTTAATAACATTGAACATCTTTAATAATGGGATAAAAATCTCTTGGTCTTGTCTTTTTTTTTTGTAATTTAAAAATGAAAGCATCAAAATGCAATAAAATCAGTAAACTTCAGTTAAAAATGTGTTTAGAATAAAATATATATAAATTTGGTTTCCACCACCAGATTGTAGTTTTGGTATAAGAAACTGTTATTCTTTCATTCAGATCAATACTTACTTAGTCCTTGGCATTACAACTTATATTGACCTATCTCATTTAGAACAATACTATACAAAAAAAAATCACTCAAGCTTGCCAAAAACAACATACAAATTAGGAGAAATTTGCTGTGAGTTAATCTGAATTATCATATATATTAATACAATACATATTGCTGGTAAAAGCATCTTTTAAAAGTTAAAATATTTATTTCCATAAATGTATTGTTTCTAATTTTTAAAATTTAGAATTTTATGCCTTCAATTAAAAGATAATGTTGTTAAGAAAAACTACATTGTTGTTGGTCAAGGTTAACTTCCATAACCCCTTTGCTCACAATAAGCTGTTACCAAAATATTTTATTTATTCTTAGGAGATTTTAAAGCTAAGCAGAGTCCTTTTACAAGTAGATATGAAGAGTAAAAGAGGAAACTCTGAACTCACTTTTTGTATTAAAATATGTTATCTTTCAAGTTTAAGTAAAACAACTCTCCAGTTACATTGTAATCTTATAAATAAAATGATAATGTAATTTTAAAAAATGACATTTAATTTTTAAATGCTAAAAAGAATTTTGGTCCACCCTTTGTAAAGTAGGTCCTTGATATCAGTCACATTTTGTTCTGAATTTAATTAAAATACAGTTGAACCTGTTTATCTTGAACCTCTTTATCTCGAAAATCTCTATATCTCAAAATTTCTAAAATTCCTTACATTTACTGTCTAAAATCAGTGTATTTTCCATGTTTATGTTGAATTTTTATTCTTCAAAACCTCGGTTTCTCGAATTTCTAATAATAGAGCACAAATGTCAAAACTCTTTATCAGTAGAACTTGCAGATATGAATTTCGTGAAACCACAGAAAGTAGGGATGAAGAGGTTGGGGGTGTTTCTTGGAATTTCAATCACTATCCCTGCACTTCCTTAACTAGTAACGAATACAATGATTCTGGCAGTAAGTGAGGGGTAAATGAGTTGTGACCACCAGGGGTTAGCTTTTCAACATAGATAAGAAAGCTAAGAATAGAAATTCATTTTCACCTCAAAATTGCAACCAATGGATCAAAGGATATTCGAGAGTTTTAAAGTGAACTATAGAAAACCGTTGGTATGCAAACTTGTACGTGCCATTCATGAAAAAAGTCCTCTTCCGAAAATAAAGATGTTAGATGCTATCAGAATTACTGTGTTGCCTTGAGAAATGTGTCTAAAAACTATCCAAAAAGGTTTTAAGAATAGCAGTGAAGATGATGAACAAGAGGTTGAATGCTACAGTAAAGAAAAAGAAACTGTTGAAGCTGAAAATGCAGTGCCAGATTTGCCAGAATGAAATGCAATAAAATCTGGATTTAATGTTGACATTGATTTTGAAGATTTTCACAAGTGGACAACTGCCTGGCAACATGTGGAACATTGACAGATGCGGAAATCATAGATAATGTCAAAGCAATATCATATGAAGAAGCTGAAGATCATATTGATGAATTAAAAGTGAATGCAAAAGAGGTAGAACCAAAAGTGAATGTAAAAGCTGTAGAATTCTTATAAACTTTTCTTGAATCCCAGGAAAATGTTGGCTATGAGGGATTTGCGCTCTTTCTAACCTTAAAAGAATAATCGAAACAAATAAGGCTATGCATAAAAAATCTTTTAAAAATTATTTTCAGTGTTAAATTAATGTTAAAATTTTTTTTTTGGAAATAGATGTATGTGATATAATTAATATAAAGAAATGCCTATTTTTTTTCTACCAAAAACAATTTAAGCACTTTTAATGGAATTTTTTAATTCATTTAAATTTTTTAAGTTACCTATATAACTCGAAACCTCTATCTCAACAGATGATAACAGGAGATAAACAGGTTCGACTGTACTACTTTTTGTGTCGTGTAATAACTATATGTCAAATTTTAAAATGAGTAATAACAGCAAGCAATTCTGTGAAAGTTTTATAAACCAGACAGCTTTTTACATACTTATGTACTTTCAAACATGAATATAAGTTCAGAAATTATTAAAAGCATAATTAATGTTGTAATATATTTTTCAGAACATTACATGAAATGCATGACTTCATACCATCTGCTACAATTCTTAGCCGCAAAGCCCTCATTTTTAAATTTACATTTAAAACATTTGATTTTACTGTTGCCTGCAATGGATATTCCTTCTTTACGCCGAGTTGCTTATCTTTTCGATCCATCTCGTCAAGTAGCAAGGTTGTCTTTTAAAAATATGTCATCAACAATTAGCAAGAGGTAAGTATTGTTTAAAAAATTTATTTGAAATATTTTCATAATTTATTTTTCTTTGAAACACCAGTTTAATATTAGTTCTTGGAAACTGGGATGAGACATTTTAAACTTTAAGTTTAAAACTTATGTTAGGTATTAAAGGGACCTATATGTTAATAGCTATAAAATATTTTATATAGTTTTTAATCTTCATAATTAAAAAATACTGTGCATGCCTCAACTTTTATGAGAATGTGTTGTATTTCTGTAATGTTCTTATCTTATTTTGTTAACTACAATTATAGTTTTAATTGAATAGCACCAATTTCTCTAAGGTTCTGATTAAACTTAATGATTCTTTCAAACTATTTGTTTCATGATTTTTAAGACTTTCAACATTTTGTAATTTTTTTTTTTAGATTTTGAAACTTTTTCCTTTCTAATGACATCAGCATTTTTCTTTTATAATCAATCAGATTCTCCAAAAGTAAAAATTCCCTTTTGTTTCTTACCTTTATACTTGCAGGCTTTAATAATTTCACTATAGTGCTTACCTTATATGTTAAATATAATAAATCAATGCATAATAATTATGTAAGCATTCTTTTTTGCTTCTCATGTCTTAAATTTAAATATAGCAAAATTGATACATATTTATTTAAAAATATGAATACTTGAAGAAAAAAATAATTTCAATTAAGTTAATGGATAAAAAATTTATTTCAAATAAGAACAATTAAGTTAATGGATAAAAAATTGATTTCAAATAAGAACAATAATTTGAAATCAACTTTTATGTTCATGAACTTCTAATAAATAAGAACAATTAATCATGATAACGATTCAATTGTTCGTGATTAATTTAAATTAAATTTTCAATTTTTTCTATTACTTGCTAATGAAACAAATTATGAATTTCTTCTCTTTGCATTCTTTTGTTTAAAAGTTTTTGAAAGGAAACATTGATAAATTTTTTTTTCTTTATACAGCAGGCAATTTTGCTTAATTAGTGTCCCAATTTTTACTTAAAACAGATGATGCAATACTGAAAATCAAGATTTTAGATTAATTGCAGCCAATAAAGTGTGAATAAAACTTTTTTAAATTGTCTTTTGTAATGAATTTGCTGAGCCTTTTTTTTTCTTCAAATTTTAATTTAAACTCTGGTCGCCATCTATGCATTTCAACACATACTGATTGTCTTTATGCTACTGATTTTTTTAATTTATTTTATATGACATCCCCAAATACTTATCACTCTGTATGGGAACACAATGTTATTTGCACATTCTTTTGATTAGATACTAAAACATTTTTACTCTTTAGCATTGTGTATGCAATAATTTATTGCTTTGTTGGCAAAAGTACATTAGTTTACGTTTTTATTAAGTCATATTTTTAAATCTTACTCAACTTTGAGTTACAAAATTCTAAGGCATAGAAATAAAACTTGAAATATTAATTATATTTTTTTATATTCTAGATAGATTAGGTTTATATTATAGATTAGATTAATTTTTGGGCTTAAATTCTGTATTAGGTTTGGTCTTAAACCTTTTATTTATTGTTACACCATTAATTTTCTAGAAACATAATTTTTCTAGAAATGGGCAATTTCACGAAAAGTATAAACCAAAATTTCTAATTTTAAAAAAAATATACGTAAACGTATTTTATATCATTTTCTAGCTTAAAATGTATGATTTAATGTTTCGTAGCTTGATTTTTATTAGCATTTAATTAGTACCTCCATTTTCAACTTAGAACTCAGAATAGTTAGTTGTTATTTTTTAAAATTCATGGCAGTTAAAAATTCAGAACAAGTACAGAGTACCCCAAGAGTTATCTCTACAAAAATTATTACAAGTATTTGATGATTTTTAATTAAGTTATACACATTGAAAGTCTACAAATATTGTGTCTGTAGCAGTAGAATAGCCCAAATGTCAATTTTGCTATATTTCATTCTAAATCTCTTATAGCTGAACTGGGATATGTACTTTAAATTATTTATTTGAATTCATTGCTCTGAAACTTTCTAAAAATTCATTATAGAGTTTGGAAGGATTTTTTTCCTGTCTTGATTATATTGGCTTTTTTTTTTAATCATTTCACATTAACGTAACAAAAAAATTGATTTTAAAGAGGTTATTATTTTTTTTAAAGTTTATAATTTTTTTTTTTTTTTAAAGTTTCTGGCTAAGTCTTCTTAAATATATTTCCTTAAAAAAATAATTTCTTCAAAATAAATTATTTTAATTATTAAATACCCTATTTTATTTATGATTCATTTGATCCTCTTTGTGTTTATTTTTTGTTTTAGAAGTTGGAGTTTGAGTTCTTTAGCAACTATATCCTGTGACATGAATGATCCTAAGCTGAAGGTAAGAAAGCATAATTTTTTTCCATGTCTGAAATTCAGAACTATTTATGTTATTTTTTAAATGAAATTAGCATTTTTTTCTTGCTTTGCTTTTTATTCATCTGAGAAATCCTATGTAAGTTGATCCTGAAGGTTGCAGCACTTTTATTCTCAACTCTTCTTAGACAAACGATCAGTTAAAAAAAAAGGCAATTTCACATTCGGCAATATTTGTCCACAATGGTCCTGTTTTTGAAAAGAAAGTGATTTTGTATGTATCACCAATTTTAAACAAATTAGTGATATTTATTAAAGGGAGGTCATAGTCTTAAAAATTCAAGGTGCTTAAATTTTTTTTAAAATTTTGTCATAGTGCTGAAAACAGTAGAAAAAGTTTTTATAAATATAAACTGTAAGCCTTTTTTGAAACATGTCTGTTATCATTAGGAAGTACTCCAGTGGCATGGTTGGTAAAGGCACCACTGACACCAATCCTGACTGCTCGCTAAACAACCAACGTTTATACATAGCAATGTGCACATTACATCTGTCGGGACTAAAAGTCCTCTTTTTGGTTTTGGCGTCCAAGTTTAGACAGAAGGGTGCGTACCAGCTCATGTGCTGCCCATGTCATCTAACTGAGTTCAAAATTATGTGGCTTTCTTACCATGGCCATTTAAAGATAGAGCTGTGAGTATGGTTGGGTGGTGTGTTATCATTAGGAAATATTAATAATTTCTTTATCAGATCGGTGTATATTATTCTTAGTATATTAAGAAGTATTTTTATAAAACTAAACAACATGAATAGTAAATGTTGCTTTTACTACACTTTTATGAGTTAAACTGTATCCTTGTTGAAATAATGTAATTTTCAAAATTTTACATTTTATTTAGGTTTCTTTAATTTTAATACCTTTTTCTTATGATAAATTTTTTCTAGGAAGAAGCATCTACTATTGAAGATATTATAAAGTTTTTCGTTTTTGTTTTGTTAATGCTTTGCTATAAGTTGGGTTACCCAAAATTTCTAAAAGATCTCTTGAAAAATGAAGTATTTTGTGTGGAGCCTTCCAATTTTGAAACAAGCTCAGAAAATATTAAAGAGTTAATAGATTCAAAAAAAACATTATCTTGTGGACAAGCACACACTGCTTATATACATAATGGAATACTTTATATGTGGGGAAAATCAGGAAGTGGAAGGTAATTTAACATTATTGAATGTATATCTGCTTCTTTTTATTTTACTGTTGTACAATGTTAAAAACATATTTGATTCACTTAAGCATAATTTTTATGTTTCTTACTTAATTCTTACATTTATGCATCATTTGATAACTACTTTATTATGCATCATTTTATTTTATTTTCCACCTTTCTAAAAACCACATATTTTTGTCCCAGTCATTATTCATCATCATCAGCATTGGCATGACAGCCCTTTGTGAGCCTGGGCCTTTCTACAGAAGCTTTTCCCATTCTGCCCTTCTCCCAGCAATTGATTTCCAGTTCTTTACTTTTAGGATGGCAAAATCCTCATCCACACAGTATTTTCAACTCTTTTTTGGGCCTTCCTCTTAGCCTTTTATTGGAGGGGATTGCATTAAAGACTCTTAATGCTGTTCATTCTGGACTCATTCTCACTACATGCCCGGCCCATCTCATTCTACTTAGTTTAATAGATTTAATGATATCATCACTATTGAAGATCTAATATATTTTAAAATTCTATCTTTTTCTCCAGTTGTTGTTATCGAGGATAGCACCAAAGATGGTTCGTAGGACCTTCCTTTCGAAGGTTGCTAATAACTTCTCTTCCCTTTTTGCTAAAGTCCATGTCTATGAAGCATAAGTCAAAACTGATTTGATTAATACCTTATAAAGTAAAATCTTCGTCTTTCTTTTTATTAAGTGAGATTTCAATAATGATCTTAAACCATAGAAGCAGCGATTGGCTGCGATTATTCTTTTTCTGATTTCAGGATTAATGTTCATTTTTATAATTTATTTTTGATCCTAGATAAGTAAAATTTTTTACAGATTCAAATTTAAAATAATCTATTTCAAACAATTTAGGGATGGTTTCCATTGTACCACAATACATATATTTTGTTTTCTCCACTTTCACTCTTAAGTTCATTTTTCTAGCTGATTTTTCTAGTGCCAAAAATGCTTCACTCAGTGCAGTCCTAGATCTTGCGATCATGTCTACATCATCGGCATTTGTCAAAATATGCACTGATTTATTAAATATAGTACCTGTAGTATTTATGCCAGCATCTCTAATAACTTTTTCTAAGGCTATGTTAAACAGAAGACATGCTAATGCATCTCCCTGTCCAACTCCATTATAAATTTCAAAAGAGGTAGATAGTTCCCTCTGAATTCGTACCGTTGAAATGGTTTCAGTGAGTGTGAGCATTACAAGTTTGATTAATTTTGATGGAATATTAAAATCAGATAGGATCTTCAACAACTCAGTCCTATTAATACTGTCATATGCCGCCTTAAAATCCACAAATAAATGATGGGTCTCTATTCCAAATTCTCTACATTTCTCCAAAGTTTGTCGTAGGGTGAAGATTTGGTCAACTATGGACCTTCCTTTGCGGAAGCTACACTGATAATCACCAATGATGCTGTCTACAATGGGAGACAGACGTTCAAACAGGATATTTGAGAAGACCTTATAGGCAACGCATGACAGACTATTCCTCTATAATTGTGACAGTCCAATACATCCCCTTTTTTATGTATTGGACATAGAATACTCAACTTCCATTCAGTAGGCAATATCTCTCTCTCCCAACTAGATAGAATAATTTCCCAGATTTTGTTTACAATAGCGTTCCCACTGTATTTTAAAATTTCAGCTGGGGTATTATCTGATCCTGCCGCTTTATTACATTTCAACGTGTTGATAGCGTGTTGCACTTCTTCTAGGGTTGGAGTGTCAACCAGTGTATCGTTAATATTGTTGACTGTCATAAAATTTAATTCACTTGACTCATTGGAGTTAAGTAAATAGTCGAAATGTTCAACCCATCTATCCATAATTTTATTTCTCTCATTAACAATAGTTCCATTCCCAGTCATTATTGCTTTGTTCTTATTGAAGAAATCAGAGTATGCCTTATGATTAAAAGTGCTCCAAGGCAAAATGATTCACTCGTTTATCACATTTCTTTACTGGGTTTAATGCCTCAATGTTTAAATTATTATTTCATTTATATTTCTGCCCCATCTACTAATCTGAGTTACATTAACTTTTATTTTTAGACTTGGTATAGAAGACATTGATGAATATCTTCCTCCTCAACCTGTACCAATTTTGCTTCAGCTTCAAGTAAATGTTTTATCAGTATCTTGTGGAGCTCTTCATACTCTTGCTTTAACAGATTATGGTGTAAGTTAACTATTTTGTTTAAAAAATATGCTAAAAATAATTATATGGCGAAAAATTAAGACTAAATTTACCATCAAACTTAAACAATTTTCAATTTTTATCCATCAGAAAAATATTTATTTATTTTTTGACTGACTAAATATTTTCAAATTCATCTGCTAATTTACTTCATATTTTTGTTTGAAATATCTATTATTATATAGACTATTTCCAATGTCTCTCGTGATATCTATTTGGAAAAAGATTCAAGCTTCTTTTTATTTTAACTTGTTTTGATAAATCAGACTAAAATCTTATTAATGTTTGTAAAATTTTTTTTATAGCTGTAAGAGAATTAAGCAGGTGAATAAACATTGTTACAAGACTTAAAGGAAAACCACTTTTAACCTTATAAGAAATGCACTACAATCTTTTGCAAGGTATAAAAAAATGAATTGCAATAGCTTTTGGCATCATTGATAATACTACATGTTTTAAGAAAACTGTCAACAAGAGAAGTAATGAAACACGGTAGACCTGTAGTCAATAAAAGGCATATTCTTCTGAATTATGCAGCTAGATACTTAAAAATTATAGAATTTTTTTTCATAGGGGGAAAGATAATCTTGCCAATGGTTCCCATGAATATTTTTTGCCTTACAAATATAAAAGGTTAAGATTCTATGCAGGAAATTAGATAAAATGATGATCTTTTCTCACTTTTCTATGTAGATACCAAAAATAAGTAAAAAATTTCTTATATTTTTCTATTTATCTTGTAATATTGCTCACTTAAATAACAAACAAATGGTATTTTCACCAAAAAAGTTTGTAGCAATAGTGGATGACTAGTAATGTTTAATTTGTTATAAACATAAAATTTTTCATTCATTCATATTAGCACTTTGGTGATGACTTTGAAACATGTCCTAATAGCAGACTTCTTGTAATATATGTATTCATTACATAGAATTTTTAATGTATATTTGGTATATAATGAATGTTAAAAGAATTTGGCATACTAATTTTGGTTTTAATAAAATTTTAATGAATTTTTCTATAGTTGTTTAGTTGGGGATCATCTCGATTTGGGCAGCTTGGTGTAGGAGAAGTTCAACAGTCTGTTCAACCACTGATTATTGAAAGTCTTTTGGCTGAAAAAATTCAACAAGTTTGTTGTGGTCAGTACCATTCAATGGCTCTAACATGTAGTGGAAGGTAAGAAATATTAGATTTAATTATTTTCATCATTTTAAAAGAACATTATTGTTAATACAAAAACATTTTGCATTAAAAGTTAATAAAGAATTGAGCATGTTTGTAATTCTTGTTGTACAGTAAAATTGTATAATCATATAAATACTCGTGCAGTGTACTCATATACTTGTAAATTATCATTACAAAGCTGTAAAGAAACATTTTCAATTATTCTAGCCCGAGGCAATTTATCTTAAGTGCTCCAAACTATAATTTACGGAAGTTTAAAACTGAATTAAATTGTGAAAAATATGCCGTGTAAGTCACATACTAACTTCTGCATTACATTTTACCAACCAGGAATTTGGAAAAAATATTAAAAAATAACAATAATTACCAATTATTACAACAATAATTTCTATTACCTATTTTATGCGTAGAAGGTATTAAAAACGTGTGTTTTATATGTTTTTAACTTAATCTGCATTTGTGAAAATGAAGTTCTAAAGTTTTTATGTGTTAAATTACTGAATAGCCGAGCCTTTTATTTCGTATTGTTTGTTTTATCTCCGGATTTAGAATACTTGATTTTGCAAGACTCATGCTTCAAAATAAATTTATTTTTTAGAGTTTATACATGGGGATGGGGAGTACATGGCCAGCTCGGACATGGTAATGCGGAAGATCAGAACATTCCAAAGCTAATAGAATGCATAAAGAAAAGAAGGATTATTTCTATATGTGCTGGTCAAGGTCATAGTGTTTTATTAAGTAAAAATGTGAGTTTTATTTCTTTCACTTGTTTAATTGTTCTTTTCACTGTTAAATAACTTGATTTACTATAATTAATTACGTATTTAATACAGATCTATACTTATTCTTTTTTACAAAAATAATTAAAAATATTTTGATAATTAATTTCAATTTCTTTACTTATAGGAAGAAGTTTATACTTTTGGATGTGGAATGTTTGGTCAGCTCGGAACTGGAACTGTTTTGAAACAAAGTCGGCCAGTAGAAATTAATATTCCTGAACAAATAAGACTCATTGCTTCTGGTTTCTTTCATGTGGTATTCATTATTTTTTACTTTTTGTTTGTAATATTATTTCATTTTGAATACAAAAAGTTCAATTTCATTTTTAAAATTGTTGTCTTACATATTTGACATCTTACTAAGTAAATGTTTAATTATTAACTATAGTTTTAGAAACTTTTTGTCATTATCTTCCAAATTATTTTAATTTTACAATTGGTTCAACAGTACAAAAAGCAAAACACTAATATTGCATCTTTTTCCGAATTCAGAGTTATGAGAATTTTTATTAAAATTTTAATTTTTTAAGAAAAAGGTTTCCTTTTTTACCAACTAAAATAACTCTCTGTGTCATGTTTTGTTATGATATGGAATATCTTTCTTTTCTAAAAGTTAATTGTTATATACCATATTAAAAATTACAGTTTTTATTTCAAACCTATATTAGAATAGCCCTATAGTGGCTGAAATTCTTAGACTTAAAAATTCTTAGAACATAATGTTTAGGCATAGATTATAAACCTTATAAGATTCATAAACATTTTTATAAATCAGTGTAGGAAAATTATACGTTATTTTAGACTAGGGATTTAACTGGGATCTAGGGAGTGAATATTTTCTGAATGCCAAGTAAAGCTTGCAGTAACTAAAAGTGTTTTCTCTCAATCATTATCTCCATTTAAAAAAATAGAAGCTCTAATTGTTGAAATAATTGTGAAAACAATCTTCTTGTCATTGAATTAAAGTGTTTAAGCAGTTTCTTTTAACTAGAATATCTTATTGATAATTATCTCTTTTTATAAAATTGTTATCTGATGTCATTTTATGCACTAAATACTTAAGTTTAAAGTTTTTGACTTTGCTTAATGCATTAATTTTAGCTTATTATTGTATTCTGTTGATATAGATTGCAGTAAGTAATACAAACAAAATATATACCTGGGGCTGCAATCCACAATCATTACGTATTCAAGCTCAAAATTCTCGCCGAGCTCGTCAGCATGGCACCAATACTTCTCTTAATTCAAGACTGTCTCCTGGTTCTACAAATGGCAGCTCACTGCACCAAAGATCATCTAATGTGAATAATGCTGTTCAACAAAGCCATCTTCTACCTAATTTGCTTAATACTTCACTAATTAATGATGATATAACTGAGGTATTAAGTTCGTTTAATTATGATTGTTTTTAACTTTACTTTATTTGCAAAGAAGGAACCAAAAATGTTTTAGAAAAAAAGGAATGTTCAGAATATATGCATTTTACAAAAACATCTGCCACATTTCGAAACAACTGTTTTATTTATTGTTAAACTAAAATATCTTTGAATTACACTCAAAAGATTTTTCAAAACTTCTTTCATCTGTAATTTTTATATATAATTTGCCCTGTAAAAAGAAAATTATTTGATTGGATTAAATAAAAATCTAAATAATTACAGATTTTTTTCTGCACCAGAGAAATATAGCTAAAAATGTTATTTTGAAGATTATTGTTTTGTTAAATAAATATGTATTTTTATGTGGCAACAATACATTTTTACCAATCATATTGAAAAGAAGGCAGGAGATGAAGAATTTGAATGTATTACCTCATCAAATTGTTCGCAGTTTAAAAAAAGACTGAAAGTGAAAGACAAAAATTCATTTAATTTTTATTGATTCATTAGAGGTTGTTTGTTCTTACATAGAAGATCCATTTAATCAATGGCATTGCAAAAAAATTTCTTTTTCAATAAACTGGTATTTATTAAGAAAGTGGAAATTTAAAAATAAAGTATTAGCAAAAAATATATTTATGTAAGTGGAAAAGAGAACATATAACTTCAAATGATCAAAAATTAACTATATTCTACAATATTTTATTAAAAAAATATTTCAAACTGAAGAAAAAAGATGTAATTTTAAGGCAAAATATTTTGTGAAGGCTATTTATATTGACATAATTTTTGTATCATTGATTTTAAACATTAGCTTCATATTACATACATATTGATTGACAAACTCTCTCAATATAAATAGTATTTTTATACAATCATGTATGCCATATCAGCTTATATGGCTCACATTGTTGTAAACTAAGTTTTAAATACAGACAGCCCTAGAAACTAGTTAAAAATACATAAGAATAAAGTACTCATATTTGTAACATGTTGAAATTATCTTTTAACCGACAGTTATTTGCCAAAGAGATCATAGAGTTTAAGAATTTAAAATGTTTTTACCATTTACAAAATTATTAACAATGCGCCAGTATTGCTGACCAACAGCGTCTACTTCCAAGAAATGCTTGTACTTCTGAAGACTTTACTTTGGTACTGGGGATAGAACCCTGGTATTTCACAGAGACAGCACATCTAATAAGATTTTATGCATTAAGAAAATTTAAAATCAAATTCTCATTAACAATTTAAATAAAAAATTATTAGAGTTTAATTTTGTATTATCAAATAAATTAAGTCAAAGTAGCATTTTTGATATTCATAAATAAATTATTTTAACAAAGTAAGATTTAAAAACACATTGTATTTTGTTCATTTGCGAAAACTGTTTCTTTAATTAGTAACTCCTCCTAAGGTTTCGTGTGGAAGTCATCATACAGTTGTTGTGACTAACAGTGGTGAAGTATACTCTTGGGGACGAAATTCTGAAGGGCAGATTGGTAATGGAACAAGAAAAGAACAGGTAAGTTGTTTTACTAATTAATCTGCTTCAATAGTGTTTATTACTTTTGATTTCGTTTACTTTTACAATTTATTTTATTAAAATCTGATTTTCATGATTTAAAATGAACTCATATGGGTTAATTTTAAGATTGGTTATAATTCCTATAATTTCTTAATGAAATTGTACATATTTCATAATTTCCTAGTATTTTTTAAATTAAATTGAGAAAGGCAATAAAAGTTGAAGGTTAAAGGAACAAATCCATAAAAAATTGTTTAGAGTAACAAAATGGCACATGTGAACATGAATAAATATTTCTTAATAATTCATTTTATACAAAACCGTTTCTCAACGTCATTTTTTATATGAAACTGTTTTGAATATGGGTGTAAATTAAGTTTTTCAACAAAGTTTATCTCTTAAAAGTAGTGACAACTTTTCTAAAGTAGTTTGTAGTCATTACTGTAAAAAGAAAAGTACTTGTAGCTGTAGTTAGCTATATTTGTAATAAATATTGTAGTTAACTACAAAACTAATATAGTTTTTCTGACCACCAATTTTAAATATTCTATATTTCAAGCTATTCATGTTGACATTAAAAAGTCAAATATTAAAATAAATCACATCATTTTTAAAATGAATACTAATTTAAATTTATAGAAAATTATTTATAAAATTTATTTTGAATGTGCTTACAGAAAAATTCAGTGAATGTGTGATTAAAAAATAGGGGTTTATATTTTTATGCTGATCGGGAAGGTTTAAATGTTGTGCATTCTAAATGTTATGCTTTTCTAAATTTTTTTTTTAGAAAATACCTTCTTTGGTTATTGGACTTAAAGATAGACAAATTGAGCACATTTCATGTGGAGCTGATTTCTCAATTGCTGTTGATATGAATGCTAAAATATTTGGTTGGGGACAAAATGACAGTGGTCAAGTATGTTGTTTCTTGTGTAATGAAATTTAGATATTCTTTTTTGTACTTGGATTTGAAAGTTCAATCGTTGAGTTTTAACATTGTGCATTGTATGTGTGCTTTTATTTCTGGAATAAAAACCATTGGCAATATGAAATAAATTTAGTGCTGTGGACTTAAGATAAGTTTTAAGTCTTCAACACAATCTTGACAACTTGTGGGTTGTGTTTTCCTTTTTATGCTTTCCTTTAATTTTATTTTGTTGTTGGTTTGATTTTTTATAACAATAAATGTAACCCAACTGTCTAATTTTAGATTATTTAACTATTTTCATCATATTTGGTTTTTAAATTTTTTGTAATTGCATGCAGTGGCATATCTAGCGGGTGTGGGCTTAGAGGGGCATCTAATTCATAAAAATAAAAATTAAAATGATATCCATTATAAAATGTTTAGTTTGCTAATTGCAGGCCCCATAACTTTTTCAAATTTTTAACCAATTTACCTAAAAAATGAACAGCATATTTATTATTATTATTGTAGCTTGCTTTGCTCATAGTTTTTTTTAAATATTTGTAACAAATTGGCATTATATTGAATGAAAAATGCTCTTAGAATAAATGCGTATCATTTAATCAATCAAGAACATCTAAGTGTAATATAAACTGCATTAACATACACTGTTAAATTTTAAAATGAATTGAATGAAAATTAATGAAGTTATTGAGTTACATTCTTTTTGAAAAAACATTTATAGTTGTAAAATCTTATTCAATATAAAATTTAACAATCCCATACCAAGTGCATTGGATTTCAGTTTTTACATAATCTAAAATTTAAAATGGTCATGAAAAGCCCCTTGTAAACCTGGCATCATAGTGCAATAAGATGGTGCAAACACTAAGTTTGTTATCAGGTGCTGTAAACCCAAGCTATGACTATGACTTCGTATTTGTACAAAATTCTCCGTTTTTTATAGGTCCATACATTTTCAGTAATAATTTTCTTAAAATTTATTTAATTTCATATTTTATCACTGTCTTAAAAAATTTCTATTATGCTTCTTAGTCCATGTGAAAATTTATTAATTTTTATAATTACAGTGCAAAGTCTCATATCCAGAAATCCACTTACAGTAAATATCTATTTTCTGGACTTTTTTTAACAATCAGAAAAAACAAATCTTTTTTCCTTTTTAAAAACAAAATTTTTTTGCCCATAACCTGTTAGAAAAAAAGTATTAGTAAAGAAATTTTTTTTGTTGCTGCTATCGGAAAGATAGCGAAACATTTATTCAGCTTCAATATTAATGAAGCTATATAGTAATAGTGCTTGAAAAAAAAACATCAGCAAGCAAGCTTTGTTTCCCTTTAAATTATAAATGTTTTCGAAAAAAAAAATGCGCTCAATTCTTTTCCTTTTTTTTTATTAAGTTCGATTATTTTATTTTTGGAACTTGAAGCTCGTTTTTAATGTAATTTTTATTTGATTATGTGCACTGCTAATTATTCAAATCAAACGGGAGAAAAGAAGAGAAAAAGTGTATTTATTTATGTAAGAGAAAGTTCGAATTATAATCTGTTCACTGCTATCAATTTATTCATAATATATTTTATCATACTAAGCATTCTTTAGTTAATTAAAGGCCTTTCAACCCATAACAAAACTTTGGTGTATGAAACTGGCAATAATTATCATCTATTTGTTATTTTTTTTAATTGAATAGCATATTTTTTATGTTTGTGTTCCTAAAAGACTTATCTAGAAAATTCTTTTCTCCTGACTCACTGAAGTCTCAACAGTCTCGGATATGGGATTTTCCACTGTATTTTCTCTTGTAAAAAAGGTTAAATTTCTTTACTTCTTAAAAAACTTGTTCTTACTAAAATCTTTTTAGAAGCATGGCAGATTACCTTATTTACTTTTTCGTTTCTTAAAAATATTGAGTGTTTATCGTGATGATTTAACTTGTTGAATTCAATAATTTGATATAAAACAAAAACACTTACTTTAAATATTTTAGCTTGGATTAAAACCAGTTCTTGAGTCCAACACTAAACATAATTCTGGTTCTTCTGGAGGCAGAGTTATAACGATTCGTACTAATCGTAGAATGATAACCATAACACAGCCCTGTCGTCAGAGTGTTCTTCGCCCAATTGAAGTTGCTGTTCCTTATTATGAAATAAAATCCAGCATTTATGACAGTGGCAGTTTTGAAAATGAATACTCTGTAAGTATTTTCAAAAATGTGTTGTTGAATGTTAAAATGCTACCTTTTTTCTGCTTAAACCTTTCTTTTGATGTAAAATGATGTTTATAGAGTAACCCACATGCGATATTAAAGCAAACCTGAATTTTTTTAGCTATGTATAGTGCAGAAACACATAATCAAACTTTATTTATGGTAATTGCACTCAGTAATGTTTTTAAAGACTGTTTCAAATTTTAACATGAGGGTTAAACTTTTTAATGCATTAAAACATATTTTTTTAATTCAAAACTCTTTTATGATGTTGTCTCGGACATGTGAAATATATAAAACTGAATGTCTATTCAAAAAAATATAAAATTTTATTATTCATGTTGAAATTATTAGACTGACTGAAAGATTATTGTTAAATTATTAAAGGTTGCTCTAGCTAGTGCTATCAAATTTTTTACCATATTTTACAACGTTTTTTACCAAGTGCTATCACATTTTTTATCATAATTTTATATATGAGATCAGGTAATTATTAGTAGGATAAAATATATTTCAAGTTATTAAATGAAACACATTCGTATTATTTATAGGTAGTGAAAATTTTAAATCATGATCTTCAAAGTAGAAATTTAGGTGAAAATATTCCTCAATTATCATCACTTGATGATCCTCCATATGGACCGCGTGCTCTACATGCTGCATTGAATGTAAGTCAAATTTCTTTATTATCTTTAGTTTCTTCTTCATATTATGGTTATGTGAAGTGCTGATATTGATTTTCAAGAAAGGTACAATATTGAAGTAGCTATTAAAGTTTAATATCTAAAAAAGACATATTTAATACTGATGAAACTGCATTTTTAGAGAACTCTGTCAGCTGTAACTTAATTTTTAAGAGATTCAAAATGTTCAGAAGGCAAGAACAGTAAACTTAAATATCATTTTTATCTTTGTCTTATACAGTCTGAGGGATTTCAATAAACTTTTTTTATATCATTTTTGTTATGGCGCTTCACTTTTCCCAAAGTATGGTAATATAGAAAGCAAAGAGTTTTGACATTAAAGCACTGAAACAGTTGATAATAAAGTAAGAGTTAAAAACAAACTATTTTTCTCCTGAATTTGTTTTACCTTTTTTCAATTTAAGTTTGTTTACATGGGTTGTTTTAGTCAGTCATCTACTTATTTGTATTATTATTAATATTTTATATATTATTATTATATTATTAATATGAACTATTATTAATATTTTTGTGGACAATTGTTCCAGTTTTTTTTCTCCCTCTACCTTTATTGTTTTTAATCAGGGTTTAATTCTAATAAAGTTTTTTTTTGTTGAGTTGGCATTTTAATTTTAGAGTGGATACTTTTACTGAAAATTCCAGCAATATGAATAACTGAGATTTGTTGCGTTAAAAATTGAAAGAGAAGGAAATAAATAAGAATAAGGAGTTAAAATAAAATAAAAATTTCTGTTTTTCTTGTATATTTTTTTCATTTTACAATATCAGTTTTTCATTTTTCTTTCTTTATGTTTTATATGGCTATAAGTCAGTCTGTTATTTATCTTGAATATTTATGGACTGCTATTATACTTTTCCCTCATAATCTTAATGATTTTTTGAAAATTGACAATACTGATAAGCTCATGTCTTTTAATAAGTGTTTTTATAATGGCGCAGCATTTTTTAGCAAATATAATAATACAAAATTCTGAGAATTTGGGCTTTAAATATTAAAATAATGACTGAAAATATAAGCATTTTTTTAAAAATCTTTCATTTAAATTTTACAGTTTTAAAACTTTTAACTTGTAAAGCTTGCAATTGAAACTCACAGTATTTTCAGAACATTTTACAAAATATAACAAAGCCATTAATAGGCATTACGAATTTTCTAACTTTCTAATATTTTTTCTTTTAAAATTATATATAATCCTCTAATAATAAATATATTCCTTACATTTTTTTCTCATAAAAACGCTTGGAACTGAAATTGTAATTTATTAAATAGATTTCAGTTGCATAATAAACATTAACTAATGAGATATAAATATTTTCTATTACCTTTGAAGGTTAAGTTTACCGTAATATGTGACATTTAAAATATATGTTAGGTTTTATCTTTTGCCAAATAATTTTAGAATCATGTCTTTTTACATTGCAAATAACACTGCATAACAATTATCAGCCAAATTTGGAATCTACTCAATTTTCTTTTGTTTGTTTTCAACTTGCTCTAATATGCATGAATATTCTATGGAATGATGAAAAATTTTATTTAACTCTTAATAAAAAATATTTTTGAATAAATTTTCTGTCTATTAATTATTTTTAATTCTGTGTTTTTTTATTCTTTCTATACTCTTCTTAATTATTATATTAAAATCTTAAATAGATTAATTTTTTCATAATATTACAGATATTTCATCAATATTTTGATTTTACTATGCTTCTCAATCACTGCCTCAATTTTGGAAATTTTCAAGCTGCTGCAAAGCTATGTGCACTGGAAAAACTCTTTGATCAGGTAAGGGATATTAAAACACTTTCTTTCCAAAACTAATGCTTTATTTATGATAATTTATTTTTCGTTGTCTTTTTTCAACACTACATCACTAACTAGATTCTCATAATTAGGCTTTAGATTATCAACTGAAGGCACTTTCTGTTGAATCAAATCCAGTTCAGTCACAAATGGCTCTATTTATAACTGAATATTATACAAAGTAAGGATAAACTGATACTTTTTACATTTTAGATTATATTATATTATAGAAATTCAAAATATTTTGGTAATTTAGTTAATATATAGCACACTTTTTCATCGTCAGGTCACAGATTTTATTTCTTATCAATGTTTATCTAAAATTATTAACTGTTTAATCTATTTCTCACTACTAGTTTTTCCTTTTTTTTTGTCATAGAAAAAATGGTTTAATGTGCCAAAAATAGTATAAAGATTCAATCAATTGATATAAAATACTTGTTGCTAACAAGAAAAAGAAATCAGGAATTTTTTTATATTAAAAATCCTATTGAAGCACAAAAAAAAGAACACCTGAATAGCTTTTGTCTAAAGATTAGATTTTCCAATACTAACATGTAATCTTAATGCTTCACAAAATAGTCTTTAAATATGCCAATTAATTAGTGTAGACAATATTTTAAGTTGAGAAATCAGACACAGAAATGTATTTTTCTGAGTAAAAATTACTTTAAGGATGTGACTTTTTCACTCTTAAAATGTAAAATGCTAGCTGTAATCTAAAAAATACAATACTAATGGATAGTTACGACCGTTTTTTCAACGTCGATTAATCGAATTGTCCAATTTATTGCATTGATCAAAGATAATGCACTTTTCCCCCACCAAAATTTTTTTGCATTATAATCCATCTTAAAAAGAATTTGGATGAATCCTTGATGCTCTCAATCAAGCAAAAGGCTATCAAGCAGAAAGTTTTTCTTTATCACAATTAATTTTTTTAAGTATGTACAGTATAGTGCATGCATATGCAAACCTTTCTATTTGTACTTTTTTGTATTACTGTGTAGAAAATAAAATTTAAAAAAATTAAAAATTAGTTTTCAACTGCACAGTATGTGTTATGTTAAATTTGTGCTACTATATTTGCCACTCCAAAGCCTGGAAAAAGTGAAAAGAAAAGTTGCCTATAAAATGAATGCTGATTCCCTGATGACACTAGTTCCACACTGTCCTTCATTCCTCTTGGAAATCTTTCCTTCCCTAATTTGCCACTTTTGACTACTGTTGTTTAATTATTTCAAGTACTCATGCAGTTTTTTCCAGCTTAATTTTTGAAGCTAATGAAGTTTTTTCAGTAACGAGTAAGTCTTTCATCATCAATTTCTGGATATTATTCATTTGAGACATTTAAATTGTTTATTATAACTTAATTAAACTAAGAATATTGAAATAAATATGTGTGACAATGAATTTCAAAAATGGGAAATAAAGAAAGCAACCACTGTTTTAGTTAAAAAAATATACATTTTAGTTCGTCTGTAATTTCATTAAAAATCTTTATTAACTATCAGCTTATAAAAAAGAATTATGCTACTTTTTGACTATTTTTTCTTTATTTATTTTACATTACAGTGATGATACTCTTTTTCTTTTAGTCTACTCGAGATAAGAAATGAAGATACAAACCAAAAGTTCTTAAATAATGTAAGTATCTTTACATATTTCGTTTCATTTAAATATATTACATTCTTGTAATATATTTAAACAATTACATTTTTAACTACTTAATACAGGTGAAACTACGTGTTTCACCTGTACATTTTTTGTACGTAAATGCCTTGCTGTTTCTATAAAATGGGTTAAGTCAGTGCATGGTGACTAAGATAAAGCTTAATTTTCAAATTAATTAATAATAATAATGAAATATTATAGAAGCTTGATTACCCAAAATGTGTCAGATTCTTGTAAATACAGTAAAAAAAAGCTGAAAAGATAATGTCCTCTTTAACTCTTTAAAGACCAAGAGGCCTGAAGATATCTGGACTACTTAACGCCTTTTTCGGGTCAGTGGGGGCGAATGGGTAGTAGTGATTGGGAGGGGATGAGCTGCTTGTCACTGATGTATAGGAACTCATAAAAAGTCGAAAGGAAAGAGGTGTGTGATCTTCACGCTTTATTTAGAAGCATTTCCGCCTGTGGATTTAGAGAAACACAAAATCCTCTTAATTTGTAACAGATTTGTTTGTTGTTGGAACTGGACCTTTTTATTTATTTATTAAAAATTCGGGAATGGCGGGCTTTTGGGAATTTATTTTTGAAATCCCAGCGTCCATTAAAACGAATACCTTTTTAATAAAATTGAAACGTGTTTACTGTTGACTACCAAATGTAAATTTTTTATACAATTAAAAATACATGTTCAAAAATACCGAAATTACTGAAAAAAATTTGGATAAAGCCAACATTGTATAATGCTTTCTGTTAATCACTGATATTTTAATGATAATGTTATCATTAGTTCATAGCAATTTTGAACCTTGAGTGAAAAAAAAGGTTAATATTTTATGAACTTTTTATAGGTTTTTTTTTCAAATATTTTATTTCTTTCAATTTTGTTCTCCATTATCTTGTTTGGTATTTTTCAGTAATCAATTTTATTACAGTGTGCTTTTTGTTAGAGAATAGATAAAAGAAAATTTTAGAGAACAGATAAAATGATTTAAAATACATTATATTAATAATATATCTTTTAAACTTGATCTAGGAAAGATGTTTTAGACTTCGTTTTACTTTCATGAAAACATTTTTAAATCTTAAAATTCTTATAAAAATTTCCATTTTATGCTCAACTAAAGAAAACTAAATTCAATTCTATCTGAATTTATGATTAACGTAATATAATGCATACATTACAATGCCTTTTTGTATACTTTTAAATACTATAAAAATATTTAAAAAAAAATAATGGAGCTTTTTTTTTTCAATTTTGTTTTATTGTATTATATTTGCATCGTTACAGTAATTTCGCTCTTTCTGGTATTAATTTTCTATTACTTTCGAGTCTTATATTTGGACACAGTATATCTTGTTAACAAACTTAAAGTTCAGTGGTTTTATACTTAAAGTGCTTTCAAAATTAAATAAATTAGTTATTAAGAATAATAAATTATATAAAATTATTGTTTACAGGAAATTGCTTTCATGTAAAGGAATTTTGTAAATTTTATCTCACTTATATGTAAGCAGTTTTGATAATGCAGTTATTGTATAAAAGTAATTCAATAGGTATGGTCAAACAATATCGTAGATTCTCCTGAATGAAATGGTTTTTCAGATTTCAAGTGTAATGTTTTTAAGTAATTAATTGTTATGAAAATAGCTTATTCCATTTGAATACATTTTCTTCAAGAAACAAGTTATATATTCTAATTATAAACCAGAGCCTGTTAATCATTATTTACTTTTTTACTACAATTACAATTTCCGAATCAGCTTAAAAATAAGTTTATTACTTTGTTTATTGACATTGCTGATAAGAATTTAATTTAATTGAATAATCTTATAGTAAGTTATATAATAAATAAATAAATTTGTATATAATTAATTTAAGTCCTGGATCAGATAGCAGCAAAAAACATCTTGTTAAAAAAATTATCCTCAAGTCACAATACATAATAGTATCTATTATCTTGAGTTATCTGAATGGTGTAATTTTAATTTCTTGTCACTCTTTTGATTATTTAAGTCAAATTGCTAGATTCTTTAGTTGACTTAAAAATTGAACAAATTTATCTAAATTATTTCAATTATACAGTGAATTCGCGATAACTCGAATCTGATAGGACTGACGGAAAACTTCGACATATCGGAAGTTCGACTTACCGTTAGTTTAGGTTTTGGACTTTCAAAATATTGTCGGANTATTTCAATTATATATATATATATATATATATAGGGAAAAATTTCAAAATTAATAGATTTATTAGAGAAAAGAAGGGGGTGATAGTGAGCCTTTGAAATCATTCTTAAAAGCGAGTTTAAATGCAACAAATAAAAAATTTCTAAAAGAAAAAACCATCAGTCAGAAGTACTGAAAGCGAGTTTCCGTGGTCACCTAACGGCGAAAGGATGGTATATCCAGTTCTTTTGTGACTAAGCGGAAAAGTGAAGCTAATAGGTAGGCATTGACAATAGCAACTTATCTTGTTTGAAAAATACTTGGAATCTATTTCCATTTACTAAATGTCGCAATTATTTGTTGAACCTTTCTGTAGTACTCTCATATGATTAGTACTTATAGTCTGTAATTGAGTGCAGGTGGTTAAATAGAATTGACAATATGCTAATTTGTAATGATAAATTTAACCCAATCAATAGTTTATTCAAATAAAAAAATTATTTAATTTAATAGCAATTTTAAAAGTTAATCTTTAATCCAAGAAAATAAAAACGAGCAATTTTTGTGTTTGATTTAGTACTCTTCTGAAAACAGTATTATAGTTGAATTATCTGATATTTATTTGATTATAAAAATAATGTTTTGTCACTGTACAGGAATTTAATATTATAAAGAACAGTTTAAGTAAAATATTTTCAATGTTTCAATATATTTCAGACATTTTATGTTGAGCAAAATATGGCTTTAAAGGTGTAGCATATTTATGGATAAAACCAGACATCAATTAAAATAGTTCAGATTGATTCAGATTCATATATTTCATTTATATGCATTTTGAAGAAAATAATTCATATATACTATTAAATAATACCAAAGATATCACCTAAGAGAAATCTAGTTTTCTTAATTATTTAAAAATATTTTTTTTACCCTTTTGATGAGTATGAAATAAAAGAGAAATAGCTAATATACGCCCATTTTCGTTATGTGAAACAGAGAAACGTCTAAATTAATCGAAGTGAAGGAACTTATTTTTATTATTTAAGAAGCTTATATTACATTATGTATCTAAAGAAATAATTTTATTTGAGAAAATTTTATTTGTTAAACAATATTATTTGTTTCCGCTACAGGTGGTTTAATTTGTTAGATCAATAAATAAAAATATTTAATTAAAAATAGTAAAGTTTAAAAAAAAAAAAATCCATAATTAAATTTAAAAAAAGGAAAAGTATTACAATTTCTTTTTTTTAGTTGAATTCTTAATCTTCACTAACAAGCAGTAAAAAATCCAATTACTGCACAATACTTGGTTAACGTTATAATATTCCTTACTCAAAATTGTAGTCATAATCTCATTAGTTCTAAAAATATGATGTAGAGCCGTGGCGGCCCAGGCTATAGAACATTCGCCCTCCAATGAAGTGAACCAGGTTAGAATTCCAGTGATGGATAGTCATAATTTCGTACTACGGCTAGTCATCGGTTTTTTACTGTATTTTATAAACAGTAATTGCCAGTTTCAGCGTCTCTTGCTACAGTTATACCTAAATATCTACGCATTTGGAAAGTTATTTCTGTTATTCTTCCAAGTATTCAATTAAATCAGGAAAATAGTTCAAGCTAATATTTTTCTATTTAATTATACAAAAACATTTTTATTGACAAACTTCAATATTATCAGAACTTTATTTGACTCATAAAGCTAAAATGAACATGATTTAAGTTAATATTAACAAAAAATAATTAAAAAAATGTTTTTGTTACTTTGAGAAAGCTGATCTTTCAACACATTTTCAAGATAATATATGTATATNCTTTCAACACATTTTCAAGATAAAAATTTTTTTTGTATGACATAGGCATTTAAAAAATAATCAGTTTTAAGGAAAAATAACCCCAATCTTAAAAAAAGTGTATAAAAATAAATAAATATCTAATTAAAGAGGATATGTGGTAAAAAATATAAAAATCTTATTATTTACTTTACTACCGCTTTTGAATATTTAACCAGAAAAATTTTCTGTGGGGGAAAAAATAAGCGATGTTCACAAGTCGATTATTAGTTTGAATGCCAGGAAGTTCCATTGTCAGGAAGAGCGCGCCTTTGACTTATTAGTGACGTGGGGGAGACTCTTGCCAGCTGTGAAGCAAATGACCAAAGATAGCCCCCCAACAAAATGGGGGAGTTCATCTGCGTTTGAAAAACTAATCATGTTTACGGTGGTATATTTTCTTCTACTTGGGTCGTTAAAGAGTTAAAAACTGACTCTAAATATTCTTTTTACTTTTCAATATACCTTAGTTATAAACACATACCACAATGTTACATTTAAAAACTATGCTCATTTTATCTTATTTTGTGCAACATCTATTACTAAATCTTATCAACCATATCATTTACATAACTTGAGTCATAACTTGTTGTCAGTGATAAGACCCAATATTCACTTAAAACTGAAAAAGCAGTTTCTTACAGCTAGACCAGAGTTCGAATTTCTAACCACTTTGTTACCATGGTCCCAATGTTGTTTTTATTGAAAATAAATGAATAAAAGTAATTTATTATGTACTGCTCACCAGCCACTAGTTAACCATTTCTGAAGTAAAATGATTAACATGCAAAAATATCTTATCATTTTAATTCGTTCTTCAAGATTTTGGCTCAAAAAAATGTAACTTACAATTGCAGATGATCTAATTTTCAATAGCTATTGAAATAATTGAGGCCTATCAAAGGACAGAAAGTGGCAACAGCAGAATGTCATGGAAGGCTTTTTACCTGGGCCTTTCCCCCACCTAATATATTAAACTCTAATTTGAATTTTCAAAATTAAATTACTGGAAGAATGAGAAGCTACAAAAGGAAACTAGTTATAAAAAATTAGTAAATAAAAATATAATAGTAAAATATTAAATTAATGGTAAATTAGTAAAAATTGTAAATAGTTGAAAATATTATTTATTAAGAAGTCAATCAAAATTATTAAAAATCACCAGAGTAAAAGCAACGGATTAAATTGTCTTGGATAATGCTTAATATAGACCAAAACAGTGAAAAATTAGCAATTCCCCTACCCCAAATAACACCATTGTTAAACTTGCAAAAATATTTGTGACTTATTAGAGGAACCAAGAAACCCTTGGTTTTAATCCAATTGGAGAAGAACTAATATGTGGAAAACTGCCAACCTTGCAACTGACTTTTTTGTATGTTTTAATCAACATGTGTTTTAACATTATTTTGTTGCATCGTAAATGGAATGGGAAACATAAAAGCTTTAAAATAAAACTTGAAGTATCGTATATTGAAGTATTGACTTACTAGTCCTAAAATAATTTTTAAATGCAAGTTTCATTAATTTATCAGCAAAATTTTACTGTTTAGCAAAGGATTTGAATCATAAACATGACAAAATGGTAATTACGTTGTTTGTTTTTAAATACTTGTAATTATGTTGATAGTTTTCAAGTTTTTTGGAAACTTTAATTTAAAATCATATTAAAATATCTAAAAAACTTTTGACACTGTATTCATAATTTTATGTTTTAATAGCAAAGCATAATTATTAGTTTTTTTTAATTTCATTTCAGATAATTCGATTTTGGATACAAAATAATTTAGAAATTCTCCCACTTGAAAAATTTTTTCAAGCTTACAATTGCATATTTTCATATCCATTAAGTATTATACTATCAAGGTTTGTACAAATCTCACATTTTTATTTGTTCATATTAATTTGTTCTTTTTAAAAATTATAAATAAACCCTCTTTTTTATTTTAGTAATGATGCTTCTATAGTTACGGAATTTGAAGTACAGCAGAAATTTATTTCTCAGTTAAGTCCAAAATTCTGCATGGACATTTTGTATGGGACAATTAAAGAGATGCAACAAGGAAGCCATTTAAGAAATTTAGTTGATGAAATGGTTACATTGTCAAATACAAAAAACACACTGCATAAGATTCAAGATTCAGATACGTTAACAGAATGGGATGATTCCATTCCTCAAGAGCGTTTGTGGATGGACATAATGCACAATTTGCAAGCAGGAATTGCTCCACATTCTGCCATTCACATGTCTACTAATAATATAGATTTTTTAGCAAAATCTTTAATAAGTGAAAAATTTTACTCTCAATCATTTAATAATGCTTCTGAAATAACAGAGCTGAACTTTGATAGAAACGATGTTGCTATATTCTCTTGTGGACATTATTATACCCTTGCATCCTTTCACTCCAATATTTTACAGTTGTTCAAGGAATCAATGGTTGCCTTAACTTATCCACTTCCATTAACAATTAAACTCTTGCTCTCTGAATACCAAGAAGATATTTTAACTGTTGCTTGTCCTAAATGTGTAATTAATGAAATTAGTAATTCTTTATGATTTTTCATTTATACATTGTAATATTTGTAGGTTTCAGGCTAAATAGAATTTTTATTATTAAAAAATTTGTTGAAATAATGCAAAATATAATTTTATGTTTTAAGATATTTAATATTTATTGTAAATATTTTATGTTACATCGTTGTTAAATTTGTTTTTTATTAAAATTTAAAAAAAAAAAATATTTGTCTTACACTAATGAAGTTAGTGTTATTCCATATGTGTTATAAAGTATCTGGTCTCCTAGAATTGAACAATATGTTATTTGAGTATGCCATATAGTATTTAACAATACTGGCTGAAACATACTAGTACATTGCTCAGAATAAAAAGATATCACTCTGAATAATTTTGTTCTAATAATCGGATTTTCACGTACTAAGTGTCAAAATAGTTATTGGGAGTGACTTCAAATATGCTAATTAATTAGTGCTAACTATTAATTAAGTTACACAATCGGACACAAAAATGCACTTTCTCTGAATAAACATATTTTTTACACATTTGGATTTTTGACTCTCAAAATAGAGGGGGGTGTGACTGTATTTTGAAATTACAGTCCTAATAACTTTGTCGGAAGCAGTTATAAGTTTGGCCCCCTTAATGTAATTTCACTTTTTGGTCATATCTTTAAAACTAATTGTGCAATTAAAGAAAAATTACACCCTCCCATGAAACTTGTTTACCCAAAAATAATTTCAAACAGAAGCTTATTTTTAATAATTATTTATTATTATTTAATTTCATACTGGACAAAAAAAATTTTAAATTATGAGCCATACATTTTTTATACCATATTAATCGATGTATTTTTCTATAGTGAACTCAAAAGTTTCAATTGTTTTTATAGAGAAGAAGCTGAGAAAAATTCAAAAACGAATTCTTTTAAAAAAAATAATAATTTGGCGACAATGAAAAAAATATTTAATTGGAGTGATTAATGCCTAAATTTGGTATTCTTTCAGGAACTTGACTTACACAAGCTTAGTGCAATTTTCATTCATGATTTTTCGATGTTTTTATTCTATATCATTTCCTTTTTTAACTATACAAAATGTTTCTTTTTAAGTCGAATTTAGTAAAGAGATTTGAATAAAGTATTATGTTTAACAAATGTCAAATCTTATTAAAATATGTTTTTGATTGAATGTGGTTATGCATTATTTTTTTAAAATTTTAGTTTCTAATTGATTCATTCCACAATAGATTCAATTTCAGTAATGTGCATAGGTATGCATTTATTGGAAATAATATATTTATCAATATATATTTTAACTAAATAAAAATATAAACGAAGATATGTAATAAGTTTCTATATATCGTCTTAAACCAAACTCTTGTGACATCAACGACTATCTGAAATATTTATGTTTAAAAAGTCACTACAAAGAATATAAAAATACCGAACATAAAGAGCTGTTGAATATGTAGCCAAACTTTTTAAGAATTTTGAAATAACTCTTTATCTTATATATCGTCCTAAAACATCTTAATTTTAAAATTAAAATTTTAATTACCTGACCACGTGTGATTCATAGAAATATTCAACCAATTATTTCATTATATTTTTATAATTTTTAAATTCGTTATTCTACCACACAGATTTTTTTTTCAAAGAAATTCCTAACATATTTTGTTTAATTTTTTCTTTAATTAAACATTCGTTTTAAATAATTGTCAAGTTTTTTTCGAGTCGCAGAACTTATAGCCAGTTAGCTAAGAATTTAAGAATATTTTATTGCATGAAAATAACTCGATGCAAAATATCTAAATGATTGTATTAAATAAGAACACCCTTTTTCTCTAACGATGAACAGACAAATTATTGATTTATTTACTTTATTGTTTCTTTATTTGTTAGAAGTGAATACGTATTAGTGCAACTCAAATCATAAGTGTTTGCTTTGTTTTTTAAATGAACCACAACAACGTTTAAACTTATGTATCTGACGTTTAAACTTATATATTATACTGTTAAATTTAAGAAAGCTGCTCTTTAAAAAAAAATGTAGAAAAAGTTAACTTTGGTTAAAAATTTTTTTCAATTTTAACACAATTCATGAAATATCATAGTAAAATTTGCTAACAGGAAAAAGCCTTATTTTGTTACACAGTGTAGTGTGCGGACATCTTCGCCAGAGGGAGCTTCGCTCACTCACCACCAAAAAGTAATTAAATAAAATAGGGGAGAAGCGTTCTCAGAACTGGCTTGTGAAGTCAGATAAAATTATGTCACTAACTTACATTTAATTTCATATTAATTTTATATATGTTTAAATGAAAGGTGTTGTCAAGTGTTATATAAATATGTTTAAATAAAAGGTGTTGTCACTAAATGTTTCGGTCATTAAAATTTATTTTAAATTTAATTAGCCTAATGAATATGCTTTCATTTAAATTGAGATTCACATTTTAGTCACTTATCTATTCAGTTATTTTGGACAGTGTAAAATATTTAAAATCATAAGTGAGAGTTATTCATGAGAACCAACTACATTGTTCCATAGAGGAACATTACACTGTCGCCGTCTCCTAGGATCATGGATAAATTGAAAGCATTGAAGACTACAGGGTATGCACTCTTTTGGCTTCAATCACATGTTTGGACATATTTCGTGTGTTTAAGTTTTTAAATTGTTTGTATTTTAAAGTTGTAAATATAAGAATTTAAAAATGTTTAAAGGGGCTAAAAAAGAGGATCATAAATTAATTGCAGGAGAGATCGGGGAGTCGATAAATCCCGATATGAAGGTAATTGATTTGAGAAATTTAATTCTAAAGAGTGCGCATTATAAAAACGATAAAGATTTTGTAGAACAATTTGCTGATTCGATAATTGCTGAGCGAAAGGCGAGAGAAGAACAGCAAGCGAAAATTGAATTCGAAAGAGCTAAGATAGACAGCTCTCGATTAAGTGCGGAAGCGCAGATAGAATTAGAAAAAATAAATCTAGAAAAAGCAAAAATAAACGCTGAGCTAGAAAAAATAAACTATCGAGTACGAGAGAATATAGTACCGAAACCGAAGCCACGAGTCAAACGAAACCAGTGGAAAACTATATTCCAAGTGTACGAGCTTTAACTATACCTGTTCCGAAAAGAACAGACAGTTGGAATTTTTTTTTTCGTCTTTAGAGAGAGCTTTTCGAAGCAAAAATGTACCTCAGAAATTTAAGGGGGAAATTTTATTAAACCTCCTCGGAGAAAAAGCTATAATTATTTTAGTATGTATCAAAGATGAGGAAATAAACGATTATGAGAAATTGAAAAATGCAATTTTAAAAGAGTATGAACCGACACCCCTAATTTGTTTACAAAACTTTCAAAAAGCGCGTCGTATGTCAAACGAAACTCATGTACAATTTGCATCTCGATTATCTACTAGTTTGGAACAATATTGTAGAATAAGAAATGTACAGGATTTAAATACTTTGAAAGAATTAATTGTAAGCGATAAATTGTATCAATCTTTAGATCATCAAACCGCGATGCATATAAATATAAAACAAGAGCAAGATTGGTTTAAGCCGGTACAAATGGGTAAAGAATGCGATATGTATTTTGCGTCAAAAGGAAAATCTTTTTCTGATACATATTCTAATTATAAAAAACCCCAGTCGTATAATCAAAACTATACACGAAATGATTCTTAATATATAGCGCCTCAGTTCCGACGCGAAGAAATAAAACCGAAGTCAAAAGAAAATAAAATAAATAAAAAACTAGAATGTTACTTATGTGGAGAAAAAGATAGTGGAAAAAAATATTCGAAAATGAAAGTAAAAGAAAATGCTGTCATTGCAAAAATCTCCTCAGAACATTTTTATCCATCTCTTTGAAGTATGTATCTGTGTACGTGGGAGAAAGGAAAAATGGAAATGTGTAATCGATTCTGGAACTCAAATTTTTGTTTGTAATTTGAATTTGATTCCTGGCGCTGATAATGAGGAATATGGAAAGATTATTTTGAGTTAAGCGTATGGTGAGCATATTGAGGCTAAGTTGATAAAAACAATGGTCTCATTAAATAGAGATTCTGCATTAAATTATCCTGTAGAATGCATAATTGCATTGACAGATAAATTAAATGTAGGTGCGTTAATACCACCGTTTCTTTATGAAAAACTGATTTCCTCAGACCTTGAGAGTTCTTGCGAGGAAAGCAGTGAACGTCGGTGCGTGTTGGAAAAAGAATCAGCACACGTGTTATTACAACAAATTAATGAAACGGATATTTTGGCAGAGGGGGGAGAGAGCTGTTGCTCATTGAGTGGGAATGAGACGAATATTTTAAATGAAGATTCTAAATTGTTTCCGGATTATTATACATTGAAAGAAGAGCAAACGAATTGTATTTCATTAGAAAAAATTCGCGCGGAATTAAAACGAAATAAAGGTAATTTTATTTTAATGGATGGATTAATTTACCATAAGGATAAAATTCTTAATGAATCAGTTATGCAGTTAGTTTTACCAAAATGTAGGCTAAATAAAGTTTTAAAATTGGCGCACGGATCCTTTTTTAGGAGTCATATGAGGGTTAGGAAAACTAAAGAGCGAATAAAATATAGCTTTTACTGGCCGAATATGAGGAAAGATCTAACGGAATTTGTCCAAACTTGTGAAGGGTGCCAACTTAGAAAAACTGAGAAGATTGGCGATAGAGCTCCCATAACTCCTGTGGTTCGTCCCGAACTTCCTTTCGAAATTGTGAATGTGGATGTCATTAGTCCTATAGACCCACCATCTAGCAGAGGACACAAATATGTACTTTGTCTTGTTGACCAAAATACTCCCTGGCCTGAAGCTGTGCCGTTGAAATCACTATCTGCTAAAACAACTTGCGATGCTTTACTTACAATTTTTACAAGAACTGGTATACCCAACGTTATAGCTAGTGATCAGGGGACTAATTTTAAGTCTGCCCTAACTCAAGAATTTCAAACGCGTATTGGTTCGAGTCCCAGATTCTCCTGTCCGGGTTATGCTGCTGCGAATGGACTAGTGGAAAGGTGGAACAGAGTACTTAAAGATATGTTACATCACGTAATGCGTGAAGATCCAAGAGGTTGGGACCTGCAATTACCATTTTTACTATTCTCGTACCGAGAGGTTCCAAACACCACTACTGGGGTATCTCCTTTCAAGCTACTCTATGGTAGAGAGGCTCAAGGTCCATTGTCTATCCTGAAATCATCTTGGTCTGGTGAAATTAGAATCCCTACCACTTTGTCTCAGTCAGCTGTTGACTATCTTCAAGAACTGGAAAAAGCTGCTGAAAGTGCTTCGTTGATGGCTGCTGACATATAGAAAGCATACAGCGACTATTTAAATAAAATATTTTCAGTACGAAATTTCAATGTCGGTGAACAGGTAGTGCTTTTAATCCCTGATTCTTCCGATAAAATATATGCCCGATGGACTGGACCAGGAGAAATTGTCAAGCACTGTTCCCCACATTCCTACCTGGTCAAATTACCAGATGGGAAAGTTAAACAAATGCATGTAAACAAGATAAGAAGATTTCATGCTAGAGTCAATTCAATTGGAGTGATTTTTGAAAATGAGGACGAATTTGGTGAAATTATTACAGTACCTGAAACGAACATTGGAAAAGTTATGTTTGATTCACAATTGGAATTAGAACATTTGAGTGATGATCAGAAAAGAAAATTAACGTCTTTGCTGAGTAAACATCAAGAACTTATGACAGGAAAATTAAAGAGAGCAAATGTTGAAGAGCATAAGATTCGACTCATACCTAACAGTGAGAGGAAGAGGCCATATATCTACCGTATTCCGGATGCTTTGAGAGGAAAAGTAGATGAACAAATAGAAGAGCTTTTAGATGCTGGTTTAATAGAAGAGAGTTCAGCTGAAATTGCTTATCCAGTGGTGTGCGTTAGTAAAAAAGATGGAGGGATGCGGATGTGCATCGACTATCGAGCGTTGAATGCTGTGACTATAACTGACAATTTTTCAATGGAAGATACTACTGAGTTAATCCATACTATAGGGAAATCTAATGTACTCTCAAACCTAGATCTGCTAAAAGGTTACTATGCTATTCCTATGGAGGAAGCAAGTTATGATTTAACTTCCTTTAAAACTCACAATTCTCAGTACAGATTTCGAGTTATGCCGTTTGG